CAACCAAGCACAACCAAGCACAACCAAGCACAGCCAAGCATAACCAAGCGCAACCAAGAAGAGACGATCGAGAGCCAGCAGTAAACATAGACAGATAGCCTGGCAGATACCTAGAAAATACGGTGAGTAGTGCAAAGCTTGTTGTTTTGGAACTCACTGACCAAAGTAGAGCACAACCGTAGAGGGAAAGTCTTGAATCAGCAGTACGCCTTGCTTGATCACCTTGTAGAAACCTAGAAAAGCCAACTTGAGTAGAACAACCTTTGTCATCTTGAAACTAACCGACCAAAAGAAGCACAGCCATGCAGAGAGTGTAGGAGAGAGTCTTGAACCTACTGTTTGTCTTGATGGATGACCTTTCAGCCACCTAAGAAACCAGCTTGAGCGGAACAAACCTTGAGAACTTGAAGCTCACTAGCCTAAAGAAACACAGCCAGTGTACCTTGATGGATAGCCTTGTAGATACCTATGAGAAAAAAAATCGTAAGTAGGGTATGCATTCTCATTTGAAACTTATCTATGGAAGGAGAGCATAACCACAGAGAAACACCAGTGTACTGTGGATTTGATTAGGATGATCAAGCCTAACCAAACCCTCTTCTTGCCTGCACAAGAGCTGATCAGACCCTTAAACAGACAAGGCTGAAGAAAGCAGACGGCATTGCGAAGATCTGTTGAGTCCTTCAAAGGATACCTTGAAACGCTTGAAAGAACCAGAACCAAACGGAGACAGTCTTGCACCAGTAACACACCATGATGACCAACCTTGGAGACGCCTTAGACACCACCATAAGTAGAGTATACCTAGGGATCTTGAGCTTGCTAACCATAACAGGGTAGAACCAGGGAGAGAGTCAGTCTTGGACCAGTAACAGACCTTGATGACCAGCCTTGCAAACACCTAAACAAAAGGACTTTAGTGTATTATACTTTTAACACCATTGGAAGATACTTACTAGATATCCACTGAGCCATGAGAGCCATTCTTGATTGACCTTGAGACTTGCTGAGTAACCTTGGAGACACCTGAGAGAAAGCCTTGTCGATAGAGAAAGACCAGTTTCAGCCTAGAAAGTGACACCATGCCTTCTTTTTTCCCTTTGTGTATACAAGTACCCCGAAGTACAAGTATTTGCAGTAGTTTGAAGATAGCTCGTCTTCTATCTTTGTATGTATGAATGCTGCTGCGCATTCTTTTTTTCCCTTTGTGTATACAAGTACCCCGAAGTACAAGTATTTGCAGTAGTTTGAACAAGCTGACCAGACTTGAACAAATGGATTTCTTTTTCTGAACAAGAGCTAACCACTCTCTTGTCTTTGTATGTATGAATGCTACTGCTCATTCTTTTTTTCCCTTTGTGTATACAAGTACCCCGAAGTACAAGTATTTGCAGTAGTTTGAACAAGCTGACCAGACTTGAACAAATGCATCTCTTTTCTGAACAAGAGCTAACCACTCTCTTGAACAGAGTATTAGGCAACGGTAAACCCAATCTTGAGACAAAAGATGGCTAGTCTTCTATCTTTGTATGTATGAATGCTACTGCTCATTCTTTTTTTCCCTTTGTGTATACAAGTACCCCGAAGTACAAGTATCTATGTATTGAGAATCAGTAAACCCAAAAACCTGATATCTGTATACATATTTGCTTCCTTTTGGGCTTAGTATTTACCCTTTGTCTGCAGCCAGTTAGTACGTACGTGTATAAACAATCGCTAGGGACAATAGCTTTTGGTTACACAAGTCTTAGTATAACGTCATATCTAAACAGCGCCAAAAAAGCAAAACACTGAACAGACACAGCTACACAGCTGGAAGGTAGCACTCTTTTAGCTCCATAGGTTAGCTAAACAAGAGTTTGGGTACCCTGAGCAATATGGTCTTTATTTTGACAACAATGTAAAAATAAAAGACAAGGGTTTGAAAAAGAAAAAATTTTTTCTGGAAATAAAAATACCATATTCGAAGTCCGGTGGCTTAGCCAATCAATCTGTTGCCTTGGACACTTTAAGAGATTGGCCACTTTAAGAGATGCATGAACAAATGGCCTTTATGTTATTTTCTTATCAGATGCATTATAAAGTTGCTTGTTGTACACCAAATGATAGCAAGAAACTTAGGGTTATGCATGCATAGGTAAGCAGATTGAGCCTTCTAACAGGTATAAAGTTGCATATATGGATAGATAGAATCTATAAGAAAAATATAAAGGTGTTAAAAGTGATGAAAAAAAAAAAAGACTTGTCTTGTGAAACTCTTCACCAAAGCTCAATCAATAAGGCCAATAGTTGCTTTGCTTTTAAACAGCAGTTTTGTTTTGGCTGTAGATAAAAGAGGACAAGGGTTGCTTTGGAATCAATAGAGCGATTATTGATTCGTAGACAATGTTTTCTCACATCAGTGACGACCAAAAGACATGTTTACATGACTAGAAGAGAAAACCAATTCTAACCCATCATGTCTTATAAAAGGCTTGTAGTCTTAGCAGCAAAAGCCAAGATTTGTCTGTAGTTCCTCACACAAGCAATATATATATATATATATATATATTCTAACAGCCCATAATAAGGAAATGCTTTTCTAGCATCAATAAATATACTACAAGAGAAAGTATAGTTTTGTTTATTTTATTTTATTTTATTTTACTTTTATCTATAGATTCTCTCAGCTCTTTAACAATCTTCACTTTCAAAGGAAACATGCTTGATAGTAAACAATCGAATCAAAGCAAAGAAGTATGCATCTAACAGCTTTATGACAGGGCTATTTTATGATCCTGCTTATCTTTGATATCGCACTATAGGACATATAGGCTTAAGGCTAAACACGCACATACACACACACACACGCTTCAGCTACTAGCAAGTATTTGGATAAAGGTTGCAACAGCCTCCACTCGAACACAAGACACACTTACCTATCCCTATACTAGCACTTGTGTACTCGGAGACCAAAGCTTAGAAACTCTCTGTAAACAATCAACAATCCTCACTCTACTGGTATTCTGATTTCTGCTCGATAACCTCATCAGCTTGCTCAGATTCACTATATGGCTGTGTTGTGAATATCAAAGCTTCTTCTTCTTCTTCTTTTTTGGGTAGTGGCTCCTGATTTGCACCAATACAAGAAGAGGTTTGAAAAAGATTCACCAAATACAAAATAGAGCCAGAAATAGAACCAGAAGAGTAAAGCCATAGAAAGAGAGCCTTGATGAACCAGGAAACAAGTAACTAGAATGATGATTAAAAAAAAAAGCTTTCAAGCATATATAACTTACCAAAAGACCAAAGCCATCATGCTACCCTCCAATGTGCTGATTTTCATAGCCCACGCGGCTCTGCGTAGTTCAGAGCCGAATGAACCGGCCCAAACTGGCCCTGCGTAGTTCAGGGCCGAATGGATGCCATCGCCGACAAGAAGAGGGCACTTGATGCTCTTCTGAATGTGAGTACTGTATATGATAAGCATTGTATCAAGCAACAACAGCAACATTATCAAAGCGCAAACCTCTTCACATATAGTGTCATGAGGGGGTTGTACGGATTAGATTCCAATAAAAGTAAAAAAAGTAGCACAGAGAAGATATCGTCTACAAGGGCTACAACTTGGCTTAATCTTGCTTTTTATTTTAAATCAAGACGCTGCTGCTAAATTATTTTGATTTTCTATGATTAAACTATTTTTTTAATAGTTATAAATAAGCGCTTGTACCAAACAAAATATCCTAAACTTGTTTGATTTTACTGTTTGTATTTCTTTTACTGGTATTAACTTTGAGCCTCAAGGCTTGAACCAGAAACCAATCTCAATCAATTTTTTTCCTAGATGTGATTAATTGAACAAAAGCAATCATGGATGGTAGTGATGATGATGAGTAATATACCAAGATATGTTTCAGAATGAATCCCTTTATGCGCATTCGTATGATCTGCTTGTCTTAACCATGTGGCTTCTTAACTCAATGAAAAGGCTTTGGTTGCGCATATGTTAGTTATCTATATTACTAAAAGCACAATTAAATTGTGTAAATATATTTCTTAGAATATTTCATATCAATAACACAGCTGTCTGGTTTAGTCTGTGAGCCGTAAGATATGTGTTTGATTGATTTTGTCTCTATTAGAACTTTCAAGATATTTAGCAAATCGAGTAAGTGGCTTAAGTTACAACGCCTACGTTAGGTATTTATCAACATTATTTGAAGGTAACTGCAGATCAAGCTGTCGTTACAGGCTTCCAATACCCTGGCGAGAACTTGATACAAAACAGCATGCTTGCAAAAGAACGAGTAAACTCGTCGCTAAGTTCGCATTGAGAAAAAACACTCAAGTCAGCCTAATCTTTTTGGGCCTTGTGTTCTACTTCTTTAATAATGTAAAGCAGTCATTATTTTAACACATCAAAAAGGAATTTACCCCCTAGATGAGGGAGTTTAACATATGGTCATAAGAAAGACGGTCACTTGGTGGAAGTATACTGTTTTCACTTTTAACTGTTTACTCTGTGTGAAACAAAATCAATGAGAAATAAGCAATATAATACTTTCTCAGTAGTGATAAACATTTTAGAAGGAGAGTAAAGAAGGCTAATAAGAAAAAACCTAGTTTTTTCTAGTTAGTATATAGCAAAATAGAGTCATGGTGAGCGCTTTTTTAAGCTCTGTAAGATAATCTTTATCATTATAAGCATCGGCCAGTTTTTTTGCAGTTTTCGAACAAGTTGTCTGTATAAAAGCACGATTCTTTGCCTTTTTGAGTCAGGTATTTGCCTACAAATAGAAAATGGCTACCCATTCTGGTCCAAGAATAAAGTCTTGCATACAAAATGCATTGGTGTGATAGTTTTTTTTTTTTTTTTTTTGGAGTTCCCCAGAGCTTTAGTTATAAGCCACCCCAGGGAAAGTACGGTTATCCGTTCTTATTCTCTTCGGACCTCAACAGACCTGTCACAGGTGGCTTATGTCGTTTTGTGGTAATTTTTCTTTTATAAACCATTCGTTTTTTTGCATAGACATATATCATATATAATATTTCACAATGCGTCCTTTGACATCTGAAGAAACCACAAGTTTATTCGAAAAACTCGCTAAATAGTAAGTCTCGCTTTCTATGAATATGAAGAAAAAAGAAACTTTTGCTTACTGTATTATAGCATTGGTGCCAACATTAAGCACTTGATCGATCGACCTGACGAAACATACTGCTTCCGTCTTCAGAAAAACAAAGTTTATTACCTTAGGTACATAGAAATAATTATCCAATGTGTAGACTAAAGCGTAGAATAATATAGTGAATCTATGATGCGTATGGCAGTGAGTGTTGGTCGTGATCAGCTTGGTTCTGTTGGTGTTTGCTTTGGTAAATTCACAAAGACCGGCAAATTCAAGCTTCATATCACTGCTCTTGATCATTTGGCTCAATATGCTCAAGTAAGTCGTTTTCGGTCAAAATGAACATCAACTCATATATTATCAGCACAAGATTTGGATTAAACCTAATGGTGAAATGCCATTCTTGTATGGCAACCATATTGTGAAAGCACATTTAGGTAGAATTACAGATGATACTCCTGAACACACTGGTGTTGTTATCTTTTCAATGTCTGATTCACCATTGGTAAGTTACCAAGAACTCTTTATTGACATCATAAATTGACATGAAAATAGGGCTTTGGTGTGACTGCACGATCTACAATGGAAATGAAGAAACTTCAACCTACAGACATTATTGTGTTCCATCAGGCAGATGTCGGTGAATACCTTCGTGAAGAAGATACATTGTTTTAAGCTGTACTATAATAAACATAATAGAGAAAGAAAGAAAGAAAAAGAGGTCGTGCATTTAAACTTTTTTTGTTGTGGGATTCAAATGGAGTTTGTTTGTAGATCAGTTGTGGAACATAACAAGGTCTAGATTTTATTTACTGCTTCATTTTTTCATATCTTTTTACTTCTTGTCTATATCAAACAAAATAAAGAGACTGATAATGTGGCTAGTGGCTCATTACATTTACCTTTCATGAGGCAGGAACCATATAGGCACAAGCGTCTTCAGCTGACTTTTAAAGCAACTGTCCATAACGTCATAATGTTACCATGACATCAATCAGTTGCTCGGGACCTTTTTTTTTTTCAAGCAATAACAGATCAATCCTTGGATTTATCATTATAATTCACTCTTTTCTCTCTTCTCTAACAAAAAGGTAAACATGAAATGCAATGTCTTTATATTGACACATTCTAGTCATGGCTGAATTCGTTAAACTCTCTATCTTTGGTACTGTCTTTGAAGTCACAACAAGGTAAACAAATAAATAAAGCAAAGGTTAAGGTATTGATGCGGTTTGATAGATACGTTGACTTACAGCCTGTGGGCATGGGTGCTTTTGGTCTTGTTTGGTAAAGTATAGCATGGTATGACATACAAGAAAAGAAACACTTACCGTATGGACATAGTTCTGCCAAAGACCAATTGACTGGAATGAATGTCGCTATCAAGAAAATCATGAAACCATTCTCCGCTCCCGTCTTGGCCAAAAGAACTTACCGTGAATTAAAGCTATTGAAAGCGTTGATGCATGAAAATGTAAGTGCAATGCTCTTGTATGTAGTCAATCTCATAATGAGCTTAGATTATCAGTCTAAGCGATATTTTCATTTCTCCTTTGGAAGATATGTAAGTGGTTTCTTTTTTTTTTTTGAACAATGACCAACAAATGAAATCATAGTTATTTTGTCACAGAATTACTTGGTACAGACTTGCATCGTTTACTTCAATCTCGACCATTGGAAAAGCAATTCATTCAATACTTTTTATACCAGATTTTGGCAAGTTGTTGTTGTATTTTTGATTATGTAATAACCTCCTTTCTTCCTTTAGAGAGGTTTAAAATATGTTCATTCTGCTGGTGTGATTCATAGAGACTTGGTAAAGTAAAAAACATTTGTGATTGCATGGACTAAACATGTACTTTAGAAACCTAGTAATATCCTCATCAATGAAAACTGTGATCTCAAGATTTGTGACTTTGGTTTGGCTCGTATTCAAGATCCTCAAATGACAGGTTATGTGTCCACCAGATACTACCGTGCACCTGAAATCATGTTGACCTGGCAAAAATACGATGTTGCTGTGGATATTTGGAGTGCTGGTTGTATCTTTTCTGAAATGTTGGAAGGAAAACCATTATTCCCTGGCAAAGATCGTAAGTGTATCTGTGTGTGTGTATGTGTGTATTGACATCCACTAGATGTTCATCAATTTTCTATTATTACTGAATTACTCGGTACGCCACCCGATGATTTAATTGCTACTATCTGTAGCGAAAATGTAAGTAAAAACGGATACAGTTAACACGATTGGCTTACAGTATTAGACACTTCGTTTCGTGAAAAACTTGCCTAAACGTGAACCTATTCCATTCAGCCAACGATTTGCTGGTCAAGATCCTCAAGCTATTGATTTGTTGGAAAAGATGCTTACTTTTGACCCTCGTAAACGTATTACTGCCGAAGAAGCATTGGCCCATCCTTATTTGGCACCTTACCACGATCCTACTGACGAACCTACTGCACCAGAAAAGTTTGATTGGTCATTTAATGAAGCTGACCTGCCTGTGGACACATGGAAAGTCATGATGTATTCCGAGATTTTAGATTTCCATAATGTAGACAGTACAGATAGCATCAGTAATTACTTGGGCACACCACTCACAGGTCCTATCATGGAGGGACAAGAAGCTGCTTATATGCAACCTCAACCCCAATAAATTCCTATATATATATAGCTTTAATTCTTTGAATAAAATGTACTTTATACACTATGATTTTTTTTGGCACATGAACATGATTACCTTTGACCTTGTTAAGCAACCAGTCTGTGTTCTTTTTATGTTCATGCTTGGCTTGAAAATGCGTTCCTGGCTTTTTTATGGACTCCGAAATTAAAGACAAACGATAGCGCGTAATAAGTCTGTTTTTCTTTCTCTCTTTATAACTATGTGGGAGTCTAACCCTGCCTTTCAAGAAGAAATCGAAAAGATACCCGAGGAGCTTCGACTTATTCACTGCGCGAACATACTTGAAAGTTCTCCTGGCTTTGCCGACAACACCGAAGCTCTCAACTACCTCCGTTCCAGAGCCTCAGCCAACGGCGATACAGAAGCCAAGACTAAACTCAGCATCTTGTTTGGTTCAGAAAACAAACTGCCTCATCTGACATCTAACCCAGCTGAAGCAAGTTTTTGGTCCCGTAGTATCTTTGACAAACAACTCTCACATGCGCTTCAGTTATGTGCACCTACTTTAAGAACCACAGACGAGTTGAGCACACTGGATTTTATAAAGACCATGACAGAGAGCAATGACCGAGAATCACAAGAAATTCATCTATGTTATTTAGCTGGACTGTTGTATACGAAGGGTATTGGTTTCAGTCAAGATCTGGATCGAGGTATTCATATGTTGAAACATGCAGCGGGTCAAGGTCGATTTGCAGAAGCTGGATGCGAGTTGGGCAGAATCTACGGTGATCGATACAAGTATTCATTAAACCAACCTGCTGAAGCTATGCACTGGTTTCATCGTGCGTTTGAATGTGGATCCACACAAGCAGTAGTCGACTTGGCCTATGGGTTTTTTGAGGGATCTGAAGATGTACCTAAAGACGACGAAAAAGCCATGCGATATGCTAAAGATGGTGCTTTATTAAATGACAAGTATTGTCAATATATTGTGGGCCATCTATATCTAAAAGGCAGAGGTGTAGAGAAAGACGCACAAGAGGCTGTCAAATGGTTACATGCATCAGCTCAACAAGGATTCGCTGTTGCTTTAGAAGAAGAAGCCATGGTCTACATGTACGGAGATGGCAATGTGAAGCAAGATTATGAAAAAGCATATCAATGTTGTATGCAGCCTACAGCGGCCAGTATACCCTTTTGTCAAGCCAGATTGGGTGACATGTATAGAAATAGTTGGGGTGTCACTCAAGATTATCATAAAGCATTTGGCTATTATCAGAATGCAGCCAGTCAAGCAGACGCACCATTTCCTTATGCACAACACATGTTGGGAGAAATGTAAGTCATCGCGTAAGTGTGAATGTATGTGTATACTCATGTCGGTTCAGGTTTCTTTATGGTGAAGGTGTGCCCCAAGATATGGCAGTGGCTAAAGAATGGTTTCAAATTGCATCTACACAAGGTTATGAACCATCACAGATTAAACTTCAGCATATTGAGGCATTAGAGAGCAGTTCTGTACTTCAACAAAAAAGACAACAAGAAGAAAAGACGACTACATCAGAGCCTGTACAAGAAAAAAGATCAAGTCGATGGTCGTTAAATTTTTTCAACAACAATAAAAAGAAATAGAGAAAAAGTTCAATGCCAACGGGCTTGTTAACAATTGATAGCATATTTTCTTATGACAGCTAGTCTATCATTCTTTATACATGCATATACCTCATGAAGAACGCCTTCTTTTGCTATGATGCGTCCTTTGAGCGGTTTGCTTGATTTGTGTGTTCATTTTGTCTATTGTGTCTTTTGTGAGTGAAACGTATTTCTTTGAATGTTGATAATCCTTTTGATTGTTTTTTTTCTTGTTCTATTTGCATAAATTACTCCAAGTACCTACAAACCATGTTGACTATCTTCCATGTTACTTCTAGAGTTGATTTGGATCAAAAAAAAGCGACATGAAAAATGGCCAAAAATCTCTCTAAACTAAAGGGCACTTATTCATGAAAATGCTCAATCTGACAACTCTTGATCTTCTTTTTGATGCTGTAGAACAAAAAATAGAGCTATCGACAAGCTTAGGTACTCAAAATGTACGCCGAACGCTGTAATTTTTGAACACTGTGTTTGTTTAATAATTGTACTATGAAAATGGTATGATAGGAGCAAAAAAAACCCCATAAACATTTCTGCCTATTTACTCAATATTTTGGCAGCAAAGTTGTTGTGTTCTTTGTATCAATAGGCTCAGAAACCAACGATCTACAACTTTTGTCACTATACCAAAGTTCAATAGCTGCGTCTTTATACAGTTCTCAGCAAAAGCTCCATTTTTATTGTGAGTCTTTTTTTTTTAAGATTTTATTATTGCACCGCGTAAAGTTACCCTAATAGCACTCAAGAGACGGGCACAATTCATACGGAATTATATTATGCAATTATGCTGCAAATTAACTAGATAGGATAATATGAAAGGTATGTCACTGCTATGAGTGGAGAAAAAAAATTAAGAGAAGAATCACAGTCTTGTGTGTACTTGCTTTTCATCTGCAATCAGCTTTAAAGCAGTACGTGTTTGTTGTAGGTTGGAGTAAGCATCAAAAGGGACGTTGTCAATAACAAATCTTCAGTGTGCTTTCCAGACTTATGAGAGGGCGGTAATGACAATGTCAACAACGGTTAAGTGTTTCTTTCGCGAACAATCTATTCTGGAGAAGTTTAATGTAACATGTGCCTGAATAATATCTTTGACGGTGGTTGTAGGCCAAAGAAATTCGAAAATGAGATTGTTCCAGAAAAACTTCTTTGGCGGACAATAGAAAAGGATATTTGTTCATTTTCAAGATGGATAGTGCAAATTGGACAAAGAGGCGAGGGGAACATATCGGGAATTATAGAGTGAAGAAATTGCCTTGTGGGTAGCTTGGAAACACGGAATTGGTACAGCATATTACGAGCAAATGGCAGCAGAGACCAGCTCCAAAAATCGACCTAAAAGGCACTAGATATTTTTATTATGAGGGCAAGAAGAACTGGAGTTGCCTTCAATTTCAATCTCCACGACATAGGTACATGGTAGGTCCTATGTCCATTTGCCCCACCTTTGCATTATAAGATGCATATGATTCTATCTCCCTATGTTTTTTGGCACGCCAGATAGCATATGATATGTTTTATGAGTTTCTATCTAGCAAGTTTTATATGACATCTGAAGTAAAACTGCCTAAAACACAGCTTAAATGCATTATTCTTTGATGGACCATTACTCGTCAACCAGACTACTAAAATGGCTTCCTTTTTCATTTGAAACATGTTCTTTTGAGTCAAGAAATCGAATGATACCATTGGGCTGGCTTATAGGTGAAATTCATTTTTTTTGACCTATGGAGGATCCACGGAGGTTCGTAAAAATGTAAGTCTGATCCAACCGAAATGAGGTGAGTTCTGTCTAGGTACTTCTGATTAAAAAAACGAGTCTACTAAGATGATAAAGACGACTTGGTTTGAGCATTCCTCTCAGATCTGCATTCAAAGTTGATTGCACACTGTAATCAGTACAAAAGAAGCCCCTTTTCAATAAATTTTGACTAATAAGTAGGTACTAATTCATATAACATTCGATTTACAGAGCGTTTGAGAGTAAGATCTGCTATTATACGTGACATTTCTGAGGTCAAAAAGAGTAACTATTGAGTATGACAAATGGTGCATATCATGCAAGTGGGAGATTCGGTGTTTCAAATATTGGTCTCTTGCACTCTGCTTAAAGACCTTTTTTTTTTCTTTTTACTGACACTCACAAACCGCAACTGCGTTTCGATCGAGTTAAGAGGAAGACTAAACACCAGTTAGAAAAAATCAGAGTGTAGTGTTATGGCATATGGAAGACAACATCACTGTAGTTTCGCAAGTGAAATGAGTCCTGATCACCTCATACTAAAGACGAAAGACAACAAGGCAACATACTTGAGTGGACAAAGCCGTTGATGTAAGTGGAATATACGCATAGCTCTTATTACACAAATACGACAACAAAGAAAAAGGATATGTACAACACAAACACATGATGGGTTTGATCAGGGTAATCAAGCCTTTTCAGATCCTCTTTTTGTCTGAACAAGAGTTGATCAGACTCTCGAATAGACACAAAAAGACTCAAAAAAGTAGACTTACACTACGAAAACTTACTAAGCCTTGAATGTATATCTTCCAAACCCTAAAGAGAGCCAGAGTCTGAAGAAAAGGGTTTGAAAGCCCTATACCACTTGATCAAACGCCTTACAGACACTTGAGAAACCAGCCTGAGTAGGCACACCTTGTTTATCATAGAGCTTACCGACCAAATCAGAGTAGAACCAGGGAGAGAAATAGTCTTGAACCAGCAGTACATCTTGTTAGACGACCTTTTAGATAACTAAAAAACCAGTTTGAGTAGACTAGTCAATAAACACAAGTTATTGCGCGTTGCTTTTGATGACACAAGTTTCAGTGTGGCTTTATGTCTGAACAACACTAAACAAACACAACTACACTATCGAAAGATATATAGAAATCAAATAAGCAACATGAACTTACCTTGAAAAAAAATGTAAAAAAGAAACAAAAGTAAATCGTTGCTTTAAGCAAGCCCTTAAACTTCTAAAGACAAAAGTAAAAGCAGCTAGTCTTCAAGAAAACATCATTACAATAAAAAAAAAAGTATACGTCATTATTTATTGTTAACAGCAAAACTTTATTAAATAATGTCAGTCTTTAGTTTCACTTCATAGAGAAGTTACTCACAGGAGTAGCCACGAGAAGGCAACTGACTCGTACTCCCTCACTTCCTTCACTGACACCTTCCCAGGCCCGCGATACACTGGGGAATGTCAGATCATTAAAGAAGGATCCCAGCAACTCCCAGCAACTACCCTTCTTCCCGCTGCAGACCAACGCCTATATACCCCGTATCTTACTCTCGGGGCAGTAAGATAAGAAAGTAAATCATCGGCTATAACAGGCCAACAACGATCAGGATCGAACACTGAAAGCCACGGAGAGAGAGACACCAGTAGACAGAACCAACCAAATAGAGAGAAAAGCCTAGAGAAAGCAGAGATGTCAGTAGACGCGTTCTTGAAGTAGATAAGGCACAAACCAAAAAGAGAGAGAGACCATAAGAGACCAGAGTAGAGAAAGTAAAGAAACAGAAAGAAAAGATAAAAAATAAAAAAGAGTGCTGCGTGCCTTTTCATAAGTATTTTTTTTCTTTTCCTTTCCTTGCCCTTCCTTTTCTTTGGATCATCTATAGAGAGGACGCCCAATCTTGTGTTACATATAAACTTATTTACTTGCATAAAACATGCGATGAACACCCTACTTGTCAGTTCTATAAACAGAAAAGCATCCCTTTTGCTTATTTTCTTTCTCTTTTGCTATGTACTTATCCTCTGTGTTTCTATTGAGTAATTCATTATTCTTTGCCCTTGAAGATAAGGGAAGTTTACTTGTCATACAAATCAATGCGGAATGTATTTCGTAATAGAGGACTTTGAATTGTAATCATTCCCAGTTCCTTTTTTTCTTTCCATGGGAAGATCATCCTGAAACAATAACAAACTTTCTTATTCATATGAAAATGTCAATAACCAAAAGAGCAAAGAAAAGTTTAGCTGTTTAAAAAAAAAAAGAAAGAAAGAAAAAGAAAGCTATTTTCACACAAACTGAAAGTATTGATTACTGGTGCCTAAAGATGAACTAACTATGCTTTTTTTTATTTTTTTTTTTTTTTTACCTTGAGCACAAAAAGTATTTCCGTTGATCCGTGCACTATGCATACGTTACCACATTTTAAATCCGTAGGACAGTGGCTTACTTTTCCCTGAAATAGACCCTGAAAAATTCATCGATTTTTTTTTTTTTTTGCTCACTATAAAACTCATACTGATTGCTTTTTTCTCTTTTAAGTGAATAGACTATAAATTAGTTTATACGTTATCTTTAGCTATCAGTTTAGTGATGAAGAAAAGATGACATGATGTAAACATATGTTTTATTTCGGTGACACAAACAAGTACAAAGCAGACACTACATTCTTCGAGTCTAAAAACCAAAATAAACGATACAAGTAAAAAAGAGTAATTGTCTTTGATGGATGTGTATATATACCATGATACATTGCAAAAAGCTATAAAAGCATATAAAAGGATACAATATCTATGGTTCTATATAAGCGGGAAGACTAAACTATTAGTAAAAAGTGTTTTCTAAAAAAGAAATAATATTCTTTTCTCTCTTTCAAAAAGAAAAACCACTTACATCACATTTCAACAGTATTTACCTTTTCTTTTTTTGAAGACCAAAGTGCCATGAGAACGAGTAAGGTTATATAGAAATCTACAAGTTGAAACTTTTTAACAATGCCTTTTTTTTATAGTACCAGAAGAGTTAATACAATACAGGTTACCACGCGGTTACATACCAGATACAGATCAAATTAGCAGAATCGTAGCCCAGGATCAGTTTATTATTGATCTGATCACCACTTCGCTTCTGAGAGTTCCTTAGGCATTATAAGGCTGGCGACAATATGTTTATCGATGGCACAGAGTGTGAACTCTTTATATACCTCATTCATCAGATCTTGTAGACTTACCTCCTGTAGTAGCAGAAATACAACACACAGTGACATGCGAGTTTATGTGTCGAGCCGTCCAGTACTGCCTGAATGTGTATAAGCGTTTCCACATTTTATCAATTTTATTCCTCGTCTGTACCTCGAAAACAAAGTCCAAAGCTCTGAGAGACCTCTTCAAATCTGTCCAAAACAAGTCTACCTCTTAAAACACCTTGCTGCCACTTTGTAACTAGTTGCTTCATGCTGACCAAACAGAGTATCGATCCTTTTATTGACAATCACGATACCAAGAAATTGGATCCTTTGGTTGTCTTTGTCCATTTCTTGAGTTCTGGTCAGCAAAACATAATCATTATTGACCGATGGGACGACCCAACTAATCCAAAACTGTACTTTGTCACAATGGAAATGGTCAAAAATGACATAAAAACAGAGAATGATAAAGTCGAAGCGTTACAAACGATTTGTCAAGCAACACAAAATCAATTTGAGAAAATAATGACGACCGTTTTCGACAACCCCAGCCGAGCGCATCAATACGCAGAAGCAGGACAACACTATAACGCAAGTCTTGAAGTACGACGCAATGAAGCAAGAATTAAACAATACACCTCCAGAAGCAACAACATCAATGTAGCTTCCTAAAGACTTTGACGGCGCTTCTAGTTCTATAAATTCCAAATACAAAGATTTGATTGCATTCATCGATGCTTGGGAGCAGAATAACAAAGGTCGAATGAATTGGTCTGCCTGTTGGGAAGATGGAAAGAAAAAAGGTCTGTTCAATGAGTACTCAAATACCCATAGCTTGAAGAATATATACCACAGAGCAAAAAATGATACCTAATCACCATTAGCACCGTTTATATGACAAATTAGTAATTAATGAAAAAATTATCAGTCAGGATTATCCCAATGTTTTATCGTAAAAAAAAAATACAGTTTTCTCATATCCAAACTTTTTTTTTGTGTGTTAATGACGATGTTGACGATATTGCAATCTGTATTTACTTTATTCTCTAAAGCTATGAGCTAAAGATATTTCTCTTCATCTACATACTAGTTTGAGTGAATTCATCAACCGTTGACAAACGTAATGCAACAGGAATCTTGGAGTAAGAAATCATTTACAATTAAGAATAGCTTTGTCTAATGAAAAAGGAAATTCTCTGAAATCAAAAGAAATACACCAGCTCTAGTTAGCTAATTCCAACAATTGCTTTTACCAAAGTAGACAAAAATAATGACATTTGTTTTCGAGAAAACGCCAAATTCCATAAGTTTGACTATATCGTACACACAAAAATATTTGGGTCAGAAATTGAATACAAAATTGGCTTTCAGTCGAAAAAGTGGTCGAGGGGTAGTAAAGCCGTCGTTTGTCAGAGATACGTAAGACTTTTACTATAACAATACATAGAGAGAAATGCCTTCATAGTGCTATAAAGTACTGTAAAAGTATTAATTTTGTAATACGTATATAAAAAGTGTATGCTATCGTCCAAAAGCGAGAATACATTTTCCATCTTTTTCTCATCTTTTTCATGGCAGCTTTATTGCACTTTTTACACCATTAAATGCGCCATACTAAGCTATATAGCTTTACTCAATGCATCTCTTGATTATTTCTTATAAACTCTGACACTTTTAACCAAATTAATGACTTTTACTACCCAGGACAAGCAGAAACAGAGAAGAAAATGTTGGTGTTTGAAATATCCAGCCCTTCTCCTACAAGACATTTGATGCTTATCATGTCCAAAGATGCTCTCTTTGGACTCAAGAGCTTCCAAGGTTATGATAACTTCTACTTGTAAATACCTAAGCCATTGCTTAGAGGACATCTGTTACAAATGCCTGTCATTCTAGAGCCGAGATTTAACAGTTTCTCTCTTTTGATCTTGCTTTTACATACAACCCTTCAATAGAGCTATTAGTACACAATTAAAAAGAGTTATACACAGACAGCCTCTAAGCCAAAAAAGAAAAAAAAAAAAGAGGATCCTTATTTCTTTTTGTGGCAAATACTTGTTTATGATCAATAAGTAACATTGCAGCAATGATTAGTTACATAATTTAGGGCTGCTGATTTAATGATAGTCAATAAGCCTGTTTTTTTTTGTAGCATACAACAAGTGAAGGACAGAGAAAAAAGAAAAAGAAAAGACGCGTTATCAATTATTTTAAATACTAGTGTATATACTTTATTGAATAAAAAGATAAAAAAGAGACAGGTACTTTAGCCAAATACTGTGAGTATTTGTTTCCAGGAACTAGGACGAGGACCTAAACCAGTTCAATTGAGTTCCCAAAAAGATGGTGCGCGTACGCACAAAGCCCCCAAATCCCAACTATAGTATTCACACTATCAAAAAAAATGGAATGCCTATCATTTTCAATAGATGATCCACTCAAACGAATGAATGGACGAACACTATATATAAAAAGCCATTACTCTGTCCGATAGTCGACCCTAAATGAATAGAGCTTGCCACGAATAGACAGGTACCCCTTCAAAGTGAAGCTTAACTTTAGAAAGACTATTCTAGCCATCAGACTAAAATAAGCCCCTCTAAAGGGCATTCACAAAAGAAAAGGCGAATGACTATCAATCCCAGTAACCTTCACTACCGCTTTCTAGCACTATCACAGTAGCAAACGACCAAGACTGCTGCAATACCCTAATAACCACACACACAAAGAAATGAGACTACCAAGATACCACGAATAGGGTTAAACTTATTACTATCCGATAGGTTCCCCTCCCTCCCCACAAGTGAGAAGAAGATGCCAAGAAAAGATAGTAGCCTTCCAGCGTTGGGAATATTTGGACTTGGACTGCCAGTGCGCATAACTAAGATGGAATACCCCCTCGGACAGGACCATAAGCTAACCCTCTACACGCGTCTGTTTTACTCTCTATCAAATTCGGCAAAGACCCGTTTAGTGAAAAAAAAGGCAGACTATCTTGACAGAGAATGCACTTGTACCCAGGTGGTAAATCCCCCCTCAAGTACGTTTGGTACATTATCCTGAAAGGACAGAAAACAAACACGCTGCAAAAAGAAAGCAAAGAAAAAAAGGGTGGGAACCTGTTTTTATATTCTGATAAGTTCCCTTGATTTGTGATGACCTGAATATTGAACTTTTGCAATCTGCACCTTTATTTTGAGATTCATTATTTTGTCATTATATAAATTTACGTGTAACCAAGAGTGTAATTCTTAATTACAACTCTTTCATTCACTTTCATTTCTCCCCCATTTCTCTCTAAAACTTCTAAAAAACACACATACTATCTCAAGACTACTTTTATAATTATCACTTTTATCACCAGCATCACTTGGTTAGTTTTAATTATAATTTGCAATCATTAGTTACAACTTATTAACAAACAAATAAAGTTGGTATTATTCTTTTAGTTAAAACAACAGTCCACAAATTACCCTGACCATTATTCAGACTCAGTTATACTCAGCTAACTTTCTAAACCCCTGTTTTAAGGGCTTATTGAGGGCTTCAGAGGTATAGAGACTACATGATCGAATACAGAAACATATAATCTATGTTCTCCTACTGTATTGAGTTGACACAGTAATAATAACACTATTTTATATAGCAATCTTTTTTTCATATAGCTGCATAATCATGGATTTTGTTTGCCGCCAAGGCTTACAAAGTAGCAGTATCAGACACATACAGCTGTACCTGGATCCACCAATACAGTTTGAGCTATTGGCAAATAGAAAAAAGAATGCTGATCAAATTAGAGTGTGAATCTGGTGCCCCAGATAAAAAGGAAATGGCATTTAAAATAGACAATCCTCCTTTTGTATGGTATTCATCATTTGCAATATCCAAAGCTACTCGCTTTGGCCTCAAAAATAGCATGTATTATAATATAGTTTGTTCGTGTGTATCTTATACGTCAAAAAATACTACAAAGAGTACCCCTCTAATAGTCAGTATCCACTGAAATGGGCCTCCTTTGTACTGATTACAGTGTGCAATCAACTTTGAATGCAGATCTGAGGGGAATGCTCAAGTTAACTCGTCTTTATCATCTTAGTAGACTCGATTTCTTTTTTTTTTGGAAGCACCTAGACCTAACTCACCTCATTTCGGTTGGATCAGACCTACATTGTGTCATTCATCTTCACAAACCTCCGTGGATCTCCCTGGGTCAAAAAATGAATCTCGCATAACAGCTAAAGCAATGGTACCATTCCATTCCTTAGCTCCAAAGAACATGTTTAAAGTAAAAAAAAAAAAAAAAAAAAAAAAAACGAACTGTTTTGATAATGTAGTTGTCGTGCAATGGTCCATCAAAGATTGGCGTGTTTAAGCCCTGGATTGAGGGTTTTCGCTCAATATGTCATATAAAACTTGTGAGCAACAGCAGTCTTTAGAGCACTTAGTATAACTTTGGATACCAAAGAACATAGAAAAGTAGAAAGATAGGCATCTTATAATGCAAATGTGGGGGGGGGAGGGGCAAACAAACATAAGACATACCAGATGGCCATTCGTGGAGACTGAAATGGAAAGTAATTCCAGTCCTTTTCACCGCTGCATTGAAATGGATATAAAGAACACGACAGCCTTGCTGATAAAATATTGAGTAAATCTGCAAAAGTGTCTTCAAGTGTTTTCACTCCTATCGTATCACTTTTATAGTACAATTGGCAAGCAAGTGCTTTGACCATAAACTAGAGCCTTTGACACATATTTTGAGTATGTAAGCTTGTCGATAACTCTATTTTTCATCTTGTAGCGTCAAAAAGAAGATCAGAAGTTGTCAAACTCAAAATTTCCACGAGTAAATGCCCTTTGGTCAAAAACGTCTTTTGACCAAATTTTACAAGCCGCTTTTTTTTGTCCAAATCAACTCCAGAGGTATCATGGATGTTAGTAAACATAGTTTGCAGACATTTAAAGTAATCAGGAGAGTATAAACAAACTTTATACTACCTTTGTATGCCTAAGAAAAAGACAGACATCTGTATGAATGAATGGGGGGTTTTCGCTGTCAAAGTATCTACATGTCTGAGGTCTCTGTTACAACAACAACAAGTCATTTAGCAGGAAACTGTTTCTTCTTATCAGAGTCCGCTTGGTCCATTGAGTTTGGCGAGTCTAGTAAGCTGAATTTAAGTAGAGACCATTTATTTTTGTAGCAGTGCGTTATTCAATAAGTATTTCATTGAAGTTGATAATGCAAGTATTGTTTTGACAAGTGTCTTGCTATCAATGCAAGAAGAAAAAAAGACTATTTGTCGTGTTTAATGTTTATTGGCAGTTAATTTGATGTAATTCTTCCTTTTTTGAAATTCATGCAAAAAAAAAAAAAGAGCCTCGCTCTCGAAATTTGTAGAATATGCCAAAATTAGAAATCGAGTTTTTTCTAGATCCTTCATGCATTAACTCATAAAGATATATAAAGGTTCACTACTCTTTCTCTTTTCTAACTCATTGTTAAATACAAATTTCAAAATGGCTCTTACTCATCGCTTATTCTCTGACGCTTTACGTGACATGCAACAAGCTATGGCTGTCTTTGACCAGCCTTTCTTCAGTCCCATTTTCAACAAGGAAATTAGTAGCAACTTTGGTCGATTAAACTCTCAAGCGAACAACTATGTCTCTTATCCTGCTACAGATATTGTAGAAAACCCCGAATCTTATGAACTCCATGCTGAAATTCCCGGTTATAACAAAAAGGATATCAAGATTGAAGTGAACGATGGTCGTACTCTTGTCTTGAGCGGTTCTACAAAGAAAGAAAGTCGAAAGGCTTCTAAGGAAGAAGATATAGTAGAGGATGCAGATAATGAGCAACATGTCATTCAAAAGACAACAGAAGATGAAAGCCAAGTTGTTCAACATAGTCCTAAATGGTGGGTCAACGAGCGTGTTGCTGGTTCTTTCTCGAGATCATTTAGTTTCCCTCATCAGATTGATACTGAACAAATTAAGGCCTCTTATGAAAATGGTGTTCTGAAAATTGTTATTCCCAAGAATACTAAGAGTCAGTCCAGACTTGTGGACATTGATTAAGCGAAATCATGTTATTGGCTTAAGTATATTCATTAATCATTAGTATTAATAAACAATCATTTTGGCATTATAATTGTAGTCTTTCCATTTTCTACTCTGCTTTAAATAGCTTTAATGCTTATAATGATATTGCTACAACAGTAGCGTTATTCGTTCGTCATTTTTATTTGGGCGACACCCTCTAGTGCTGATTGACTTCTAATAAGGATTTAAGATAGTCTATAGCTTCCACTCAGTAATTATTCAATTAAATCATAAAAATCAAGGTAGGTTATTTGGATAACGCGATTTCTTTGAACAAAAGGTACTTGACATCTAAAGCTGCTATTTTCTGTTCAGTATGTTTGTTATTTTAGTAAAGGCGTTTACAAATGAGAAAGACAATCACTTTGTATAGTAAGTATGTTCATAAGTATATAACCTCCAGGCACAAGGCCCAAATGACAAACTCGTCTGACAATCTATGCTGTCTTACTTAAATTAATATGCGTTTTTAAACATGTTTGTAAGAATAGATACTTCTTAATTTCGATTCTATCACTCAAGCTGTTATATTGCTTAAAAAAAAGTTGTTGTCCAAACAAAGGCAATTATTCTGAAAAATAATTGTATACCCCTCAACACTCCCTTTGTATTGTCAACCCTATGCACACTAAAATCTTTACGAAGCAACCTTTCAATTGCTATATTGTTTAACAACATTTAACTTGTGATGTAAGCATACTAGTATCAATTAAGCTCTTGTTTGGCAGAGCAAAAGTGATGAAATAGCAAGGTTGCACAACATAGTGAAACTTGTTTGAATGTCTGTATTTAATCATGTTTTACTTTCTCCCTTTCTCTCTTCGTATACTTTCATGTTATTCAAGCCGTATATGTCGAAAGCAGTGTTACAGACAAGCTTTTCTCAACAGCAACGTATCATGACCAATGCTCAATATAATAAAAACATTTGTCAAGATCATGACGCACTACTTCATAGTATTCCTAGTCTATATGATTCTTATTCACGATGCTTAGTATGCAAACAGCCATATTCATACACATTTACGCTATCACTTCGAGCAAGACGTGGTTCAACTTGTATTGGATGCGCAAGGTAATATCAGTGCTAACTATGATTTCAAGTTTTAATTAGTCAAAAAGACTACTAGGACCATATAAACATGATCTTGAGACTAGAGAAATGATTATTGAGATGTTGTCAGTAGTCCCTCAAAACTATAATGTTCAAAAAACAGCTGAAGTTGCAGAGACAATTGATAAGCAAGAGGCTTCTGTTCGATTAAAAGAGACTTTCGAACAGTTAGAAGAACCAATGCAGCCCATGTTTGAACATAGTTATAGAGGCTATGAGGATCTTGCTGCTCGTTCGCGTCGAACAATGAAAGTTCGTCTTAGAAAAACTGGGAGACATGGATACATCCCAAGCAGAGAAGAGCTCATTCAATTGATGAAAGCCTCACAAGGAAGATGTGCGGTTAGTGGAATTAAAGGCCATTGGGGGCTTCAGAGGCCTAGTTTTTTCAAGTCTCCTTTTGATCTTGATTTTGATCACAAAATTCCTATTTCTTTAGGGGGCTCTTTTGGGCTTGAAAACTTACAAGTAACTATCAACTGTCTAAATAGTGTCAAAGGGGGCGAAACTGACGAAGAACTCAAGAGATGGCTGAAAGGATTTCGAGAGAATAGACAGGCATTTCAATGATATTTTATCAATAAATAAAAAAATTGTAAGCATAGCCAAGTGTACGCACAATGTAATAACTTGCCATATGGTTATTGTTTGTCTTATATTGTACACGGACTTTTAAAATGTTTTTTTTTTCTCGGGAGGGCGAGAAAAGGGCCTAAAAGTCACAATGTAGCTTAAATTTCGAAAAAAAAAAAAAAATCTCTCGTTTTTTTTTCACAGCAATGTGGAGAATAGCCCTGGCTAGACAAAATCTTGTAAAATGTACTCGGGTTTCTCGAGCTTCTCAGTCATTCGTGAGATACAAACATCAAATTCCTGTCACAAAGCAAATACAGGAACTTAAAGAGCAAGACAAAGTCGACCCTTTGTTTTTAGAAAACAATATCACTCCTATTGAGAGACTTGTTGATTTACCTCTTATTCAAATTGGTGACTATGTAGAGGCTTTTACGTAAGGATTTATGATGGAGTCAGCTATAGCTGAGCTAATCCATATAGATAGTAATGGACAGTACAGTGGTATGGTCGTGGGTCAAAAACGATCTAGTGGTGGTCTGCAGCAATTGACAGTCTTGCTCCGAAATGGCAAATTGTTTGAAGTGCGTAGTAGTAATGTTGCATTCTGTCTCAAAGATTTTGCCAAATCACAGCAAGTTGCTCAAACTGTTGTTGATTCCTTCAGCCCTCAAGATATAGATGCCAATGGCGTGTTGCAAAATATCTCACCTGCTTATAATCGAGCCATTCAGCATTATCAACGCACTTTAAAATTGAACAAAGGTCTTGCACATCAAGGCCTTGAGCAGCTTCACAAGCATTTTATCCATCCAGACAAAGAAACACAAGTCTCATTAGACGAACTTGCTGCTCATGCATTCAAGACAAAGCAGCCCAGTACACTTCAACGCCATGTCACATTCTTACACTTGGCGTCAGACAACATTCATTTTGTGCCTACGTTGGACGTCAGAGGCTCAAATACATGGATACTTCGCTCTCAAAAAAAATCAAACAAAATCGCTCAAGTGATTGAATCCATTCGTACTCGAGACAGTCTCTATACTGGCTTTTTGGAGCGTGTCAAGCCTCTTGTTGAATTTTACAATCATCATGCAGATCCTGTCTTGGGCACCTTTTCACCAACAGCTTTAGAGATGATGCCTAAGGTGGCACAAGAATTGAAAGAATCAGACAAAATGTTTATCAATTTTGTAGTTGACTGGGTAAAGTCCCCCAAAGTCATCCTTGCTTCTCCTTATGAAGTGTTTGTGCCAAGTATTCTGAAAGCACTGAAATGCTATGACGATTTGTTCTTTGATCGATCACTGGCTGCTCGCTTCCTTAAAGAAGTCGGCATGTTTAAGCCTTGGGATAACATTGGGTTGTTAGAACAAGCACCCATTGCAGGCGAATTCTTTTGGACAAAAGAATCAGAAGAAAATGAACTTAAAATGGAAAGTTATGCCAATGCATTTTTGAATTCGCCTGATAGTCAAGATGATTATGCACGTATTCGACATGATTTCGGTGATTTGCCCGTCTATACAATCGATGATCCTTCTGCTAAAGAAATTGACGATGGCGTATCCATTGAACACATACCTCAAGATAACTCTGCTTGGTTACATGTACATATTGCAGACCCTACTACGTTTATTTCGCCCACACATGAATTGTCTCAACTGATGCTTCAAAAAGTACAAACATTATACTTACCAGAACAACATTTCCCTATGCTTTCTGAGGAATTGTCATCCAAGAAGTTTAGTTTAGGTTCAACAGCCTATACAAACAACCAAGGATCACAATACGCATTCACATTCAGTACACGCATTGACCAAAACGGCAATTTATTGGATTACAAGGTACGACCTAGTCTTATCAAAAATGTAACCAAAGTCTACTATGACGATTTAGATAGACTACTTGAGCCTATGGCGAACAAAATGCATGATCCACTTGTTGACCTCACGAAATCTTTTTCTCATCCATCCAATGACGCCTTTGCCCTTCAAGACCAACAGAAATCAGAACGTCCATCCACTGTACCCACCCATGCTGAACAAGACTTATTGAATATCTTCCGCATGGCCAACAGACATGCTGCTCAACGTATCAGAAATGGTGCTGTCTTCTTTAGTAGAGCAAGCCCTGTCATTAGCATCATGCCTGAACGTCTTGATTTGCCTTCGTTTAATTTTTCAAAACCCAGTTATGCTTCCAGCTTACCTGCCGTTCGACTTGGATTAGACAAGTCAGGATACTCATCTGCTCGCCAAATGGTTGCTGAAACCATGATCATGGGTGGCCGTATCGCCAGTAAATTTGCACAAGAGAATGGTGTTGTGATTCCTTTCCGTACTCAAGCCTGGAACCCAAATGCTTCTACAAGTGATATTCAACTGAGAGAAGAATTGCTCGCCAGTCGTGATCCTGTGACGGGTATGGTGAAGATGCAAGATATGATGCGCTACATGTCTATTTTACCCCTACAACAGTAACAACCGAAGCTGGATTACCACATGCTATCATGGGGATTCAAGACGGTTACACCCGTGCTACTTCACCTCTTCGTCGTTACTTGGATATGGTTGTCCATTGGCAATTAAAATCACATCTCATGGGTCAAGCGCCCGTGTTCTCAGCAGATCAACTTAAGGCATTAAGCACTCGCATTCTGACACGCGAGAAACAATTGTCGCTGCTTCAACAGCGCAGTATTCAATTCTGGACGATTCATTTGTTAGATCGTATGCGGGCTGATGGATTCACACAACAGATGGAATGGACTTGTATAATCAATATGCCATCCCGCGTCTCTTTTACAGAGCTGGGCGGTGCTATTGATGTTGCCACAGGCACTGTTTTAGAATTAGGCATTCGAGGACGCATTGAAAAACTGAATAGAAATCTAGAAGTAGGCGATGTGGTCAAGGTTCGAGTTTCTAGCTTGGATACTTTATTAGGTAGATTGAATTTAGAATTAATTTAAAATTGTACATAAACTTGTTAAACCCAATCTCTTGGATTTTGTAATACTTGAACTAAGGCTGCTTCTTGAGAACCTTTTTTTGGCTCATGCATATATTCCCATCTTGCTGTTAAAGGCATTGTCATCAGAATAGATTCTACTCGAGCACAAGGAGTTGCTAAGCCAAACTTGGTACCGCGATCCCAGATCAGATTGAATTCAACATAGCGACCACGACGGATTTGTTGCCAGTGAACCATATCTTCTGTAAATGGCATGTCTTTACGTCGTTCTAGTAATGGCAGATAGGAAGGCAGGAATCGATCCCCCATCTCTTGTATAAATTCAAATATTTCTTCTGCTGGTTTATCATTGAAGTCGTCAAAAAAGATACCACCAATACCTCTTGCTTCATTACGATGCTTATTTAAGAAATAGAGGTCACAGGCGCGCTTCATTCTAGGATAGTAATCAGGATCGAATTTATCACAGCCTTGTTTATAGATTGAATGAAACAAGATAGCGTCTTCTTCAAACAGATACACAGGTGTTAAATCAGCACCGCCACCAAACCACCATAGCTTCGGTGTACCATCAGGATTCATGATTTCAAAATAACGATAATTCATATGGATAGTAGGTGCATTGGGGTTTTTGGCATGCATGACAAGGGAAATACCAGTAACAAAGAAAGGCACTGTGCCTTGAACATCAATGTCTTTGCCTCGATCATGACGCATTTGACGCACGGCTTCTGGGGAGAGTTCAGAGTATACGACAGAAACGGCAATACCGGCCTTTTCCATCACATCACCATCAGACATGACACACGTTATGCCTTCACCACCATGTTCGGCTCTTTCCCATTCAGAACGCACAAATTTACCTTTTCCGTCTAGTTTCTCTATACCTTGGCAGATCCTGCCTTGCAACTCCTTGACGTAGGCTTCCATACGAAGTCTTAAGGGTGCCTTGTTGTCTATAAGACCTTTTGCTCTCTACATGAATTGTCAATATAGTTCTTATGCCATTGGTTTCTCTTACAAGGTCATTGTCACTCTGATAAATAGCGTATTTAGAAGAAAGAGAAGATACCATGATTGTTTGTAAAAAGAAAAGAAGGAACAAGGTGTAGGATATGAGCTTATATGATTTCTTGTGTTGTCTTGAACTTGTGGCGTGATAAATCAAAATTGATTTTCCGCTACACAAAGGTAAGCATAAACGATGTGTTTTTTTCTACAAAAGATGAAGAGAATATATATGTTGCTATATTAGAAAGAAGGTCTATATACTCTATTGGGCTGAATTAGCAAGCTAGTTCCTTTTCTTTCTTTTTAAAATGTCAACATATCCAACATTCAGCTTGAATGGTACGACAAATTGTTGCCTGTTCTGCAGGCTCTACCGTTGGAAATGATCAAAACTCAGCCAATAATTGAAATCACAAGCATCAAAGCTACCAATCAACCTTTGTCCGTTTAGCTTGCCTATATTTTTATATATAAAAAGGCTTCAAGTTCTTTTTCATCAACCATGCTTTTCTTTGACATTGCTGAATACATGAAACCCAACTTGTTCAATGAGTCCACTACATAACTGAATGTCCAGTAGCTGATTTGCATAAATGAAATAAAACGTCGCGTATTTTTTTTCTTAAGCGCGAATTGATTGTCCGTTTATGGCTTTCCTCTTTTTTTTTTATTATTGTTTGTTCCATGAATAAAAAGACAAAGAAAGGTTATCTTTGGGCTTTTGAGCAACAAGACAAATGGGATGATTTATGTTCAGAAAAAATACTTCAACTGGACCAAATAGCCAAATCACATATGGACTGGCTTGATAGACATTCTACTGCAAGGTTTGATGAGTCACTACCCATCTCTTTCTCTTTTTTAAACCAGCCTGTATTTTAGTGATTTGATATCTTGGAAAAGACCTGCGATAGACTTGAAAAGATACAGTAGTCTAGTACAAGACGTGAAGCAGCCATCAGTGGATGAATCCTTCGATCAAAAGAAACTAGATTCACTCGATCAAAAGGAAATCGAGTCTTTGCCAGATCACGACATAAATCATCATTCCGAGCAGTCGAATGAAGTACATGATAGTAAAGCAGATTCACCAAAGCAATCTCAAGACGATGCCCAACCACCAATAGATACGCAGTCAAAAGATACTAAGGACCCGCCTAAAGATAAAATAGAGAATAACACGGTAGAACAAAAGAGTACTATAGAGATTAGATCAGATCAAAGTGACATCACTGTCAGTAGCATGCCCCTTTCTTCTTCACAACAAAGACATGTATCAGACATAGTGCCTGATTCAACAGAATACGATGAACAAGACGACGAAATACAGTTGGTTGTCTATAAACGTCATTATGAACCCAAAAGTCCTAAACGAGAAGAATCTCCTCCACCCTCTTCTGTGATGCCTATGATATCTCCTCCGCCTCCTATCAAAACTATCGCATCCAGCATGCCATTTAAACCGCATAATTCATTTATGAGCCGACTATTTCGTATGGGGGCCATCAAAAGAACTAAAGAAGATTCCCCGCTGTCTGCTGATGTAATTACAACACGACCACTCTCAAGTTCACCAAAAAGTACGGCTGTTGATATCGGTGGATCCATTGTGCATCCAACCATGGATCAGCCTATTCAAGTGAATGATGTTGAGCCCCAATTAAAGCGACCTCGCATTTTATTAGAAGCTAAAAAGGTATAATTGATGATGCTATCCAAATGGACTAACGAAAATTAGACTGCTAAACCACCTAAACAAGAAGAAACAGAACAAGAAGAGTTTGAAATTCCTTCTTGGGCAGAAAGTCCTGAACTTGAGCAACATTTAAGAAATCAATCAAGGCTGGATCCTGATAAGATTTTTGGTAAAATGCCACCATTACAAATTCAAGGTAAAAGAAATTCATCATTTAACAAGTTAAACTCACAACTTTGATTCAGCTATTTTCCCCCGGACAAGACCCATCATACCAGAAGAAGCACCTCCATAATTTGTGTTGTGACACCTCGTGTTTTCTTTGACAATAGATAGTAAATAATTCATTTATATTGACACAGAATACAGAAATATTAACAAGTTACCCGCATTTTCATTCTCTACAAAGAATGACTTTTTTAAATTCATTTTAATTGATTTAATAATTACACTTAATTGCTTGACAAAATTTTTTTCTGAGAGGAAAAAAAGGGGAGTACAAAATAAAATGCTCAAATTCAGGGAGTTTTCCCTTCATTGAGGCGATTTCGCCTTTGGGCAAGAAACAACGCATGCGTGTGTGTGTGTGTGTGTGTCTCTCTCTCTCTCTTTTTTTCTCTGCATGGTAATTTGCCCAATATATAGAATGTAATTATTTTATTTCTTTTTTTCCCTTTCCCTCTTTTTTGTTTTATTTTATTTTATTTTTACTCATTATTTTCTTATGTACAAGTGGAAAAAACGACTCTCTAAATTATCACATAAATTCAATCGTTCAAATGATTGGAATGCGACCACTATGGCAGCAGCAACAGAGAAATTTATACGAAATACGCCTGATATTATTCATTCTGAAGATTTAACTGCTAGTCAATTTGCTCATTTGACAGGCATCAATACAAAAAGAAATAGCCTTTATTCTATAGACGAGTCAGAATCAGAATCAGATATGGAAGATGACTGCTATTATTCAACCACAAACAGTGCTCTGACACATGATACAGCCATTCAGATTTGGGATTCACAATTTTGGAATCAAGGCAAACATGCCATTATATCTCCAGCAGAAAAAATGCCCAGTATGATCCAAAAAGGTCGATTTAAAATTGTTTGGGGTCAAATAGATGATGATACAGTTACATATATACAACCCTCTACTATTCGTTGTGTTGAATGGAAACGTAAAAGAGCAAGTAGTAATCCCATTGTTACTGATATGCAGCCATTGAATTAAGGCATTCTCGCATGAACACTTTATGATATGCTTCTCTATTTTATGTGTAAATATGGCTCTCTCTCTTTTTTTTTCTTCTTTTTCATCTTCTTTATAATATGTATATGGATCTCTTTTATGTAAATATGTAAAATAAAATATCTTTCTTCTATGTCTAAGAAATGTTTAGAAAAGGGAAGCAGAAGTAACTGCTTTGCTTGTAGATTTCTTCTGACCATCTTTGCCAATAACAGTGACATTCTTTTGACCAAGTAATTCCTTGACTGCCTTCTTTTTGGATTGTTTCTCGCCCATGTGAGGATTGTATTTCTTCATCACCTTCAATTCTCTTTCCTTCATTTCGCGCTCCTTTCTCTTCAACTTCTTCTTTTGTGCTCTTAAGCGCTTACGTTCATCTTGATCCATTTCTGAAGCTGCCTTGACATCACCACGCTTCTTATCATAGACTTCTTCAGGAGCCAACAAAGTAGCCTCGGACACATTCACGGGTGTGACTTCTTCCATGCTGATAGCAGCTGAATTACTGACAATTGCCATTTCAGGCTTAGGTGCCTTGGGTGTGTAATGGAAGTTAGAGAGAGCATCCAGTTTATGACACAAGGTTTGGAACATATCTGTAATCTCTTGGTGTTCTTTCTCCAGAGCTTCATCACGTACGTCTTTTTGTGCTTCGCCTGTTTGTTTGCTGACATAATCATCTTCATACATTTCAGCCAAAGATTTCTTGGATTTTTCATCGCTTAATTCAACACGCTTTGAAGGCACAAAAGGCTTGAGTGTAGGATCTACTTTACGTTCAACATCATCAAACATGTTGTCTAAAATACGCTTCTTGATTATTTCTTCAAGTGTGTTTGTTGTCTCTTGTGTAATGACAGGTACAGGCTTATTGGCATGTTCAAATTCAAGGTCTTCTTCTAATAAACTGTTGACAGGTCTAGCAGATGCATTGGCTTCACCGCGTAATGTCCAATGCTTATCCTGAATGTTTTCGTCTTCGAATTCTTCAATTTGAGCTTGAAGGTGTTCTTGTTGCTTTTGAAATGCTGACTTTTCCTCATTCTCTTCGGCTTCAGAGTCATCATTGGCAAACAAATCGCGAACAGAGCCTTCCAAAGCATTGTCTTCTTCTTCTTCGTCATTTTGTTCATCTTGTTCTTGTTCTTGTTCTTGTTCTTCTTCTTCTTCTTCTTCAAATTGGACCTTCTTTTGAGGTGTGTATGGCTTACTCTTTTTAGGCTTTTCATAGAAATCATCATACAGTAATTCTATGGAATGTCAATACAGTTTTTTTTTTCTATAATTGTTTTCTTACCAGCAGCAGCATTTGTATCATCCATGTCTTCATCTTCTGAATCTTCTTCAGCATCTAAGTCTTTATCAAAATCAAATTCATCGTCTTGATCTTCACGATCAGACATCATGTCTAGTTCTTCTTGTTCTTCTGTCCACTTGTTGAATTCATCCAAATTGAAAAACTCGTCGTCTACTTCAGAAGTCTTTTTGGATCTAGCGTAGCAAAAAAAAAAAAAAAAAAAAAAAAAAAAAAAAAAAGATAAATAAAAGAATCAACCTATTTTCTACCTTACGTGTTTCTCAAATGTGTCTTTTTAGAAGGTTTTTCTTCTTTCGTTTCTTCTTCTTCTTCTTCGAGGTCATCGTTTTCTTCGTCAAGGTCACGGAATGGTTCTTCTTCTTCGTCTTGATCTTGCTCAGAATCTTGATCTAGTTCAAATTCTTCCATATCTTCATCTTGTTGCGATTCATCTTGATCGAGATCCATAGACTGACCAGATACACTCTCATCTTCACTTGTATCTTCAGCTACAGGCCTTTTGTTGAATGTCTTGAGGGCTGTCTTAGCATAATCAAGAAAAGGTTCATTTTGAGCTGCGATTTCTTCCCAGATTTGATCGTTATCAAATCCTTCTGTCAAGAGTTCTGTAAAGGGCGAAAATTGAATTGGTTCTACTTTTTTGACTATATGCCATAGATGAGTTAAATAAATAAATACAATGTCACATTACCATCGTCATAAAAGTGTTTTGCCATTTCTAAAGCACTACTGGCAATCTTTTCATTTGAACTAAAAAAGACATGAGGCTTATCTACCACATTGGATATAAATTGATCGAGCGAATTGTTTAGGGTGGACATGAGGATCTATGAAATGTATATGCAATGATTTCGAAAAAGAAAAAAAAATCCATCTGGTTATAAGTGACTGCTCTATCAAGAAGTAGTCACACGAATAGCCCCTTTCATTTCTGTTTCTCTCAGGTACTCCACTGTTTTTCTTTTTCTTTTTCTTTTTTTTTTTCTGTATGCAAGCAAGTCATATCATTGAGTTTCAAGAGAGAGGATATACAACTCTTCATCAAGGTAGAACTCAGAATAGAAATACAATGTATTGAATTCAATCATATAGCACTGGATGAAAATGAAGTTTATTTATTGCATGAAGAAGCTGATATTCTTATGAATTATTTAATGACCGAAGGCTATGATCTTGTTCGAGATTTTGGCTGTGTTTTAGGTAATGTTGATCATACTATGATAAATAACAACAACAGAACCTTTGCATTGTGGTTATGTATGGGACAATGCACCTGACCAGACCTATCGAACAAATCCTTCTGAATACAAAAAATGGCGCGATTCTATTGACTGGGACAATAAAACCATGAATGCATCTGATCTGATATTAAACAAATATAATACATGGGCTTCGCAATTACTATCCAGTCAAACTATTTATTTAGTAAGTGACCATTAGCAGGCAGAATATTAAGTAATAAGCTGAATGAACAATATATTGTGAAACCACCCTATACAGTTCATTCACAATTTGACTGGCATAGAGACTCTGATTATTACCAGGATTTGGAGGACCGGATGGAACCCACTGTTGCTTGTTGGACTTGTCTTGATAATGTGGCTGAATCAAATGGGACAGTAGAACTGGTTGATTTTAAAGGACAACCGTATGTGTTTGAGGCTACTGCAGGTAGTATATTGTTCATGTCCAATCGACTGCTACATAAAAGTACCGGGAATGCCACTTCGAAGTTCAGAAGGGCATTTATGCCTCAGTATTCCAAACAACCCATGATGAAGTCAAACCAATGCTTGGCTATCCAATGTGATTCAGTTTGTTTGTCCTACCTTCATCTCTCACGAGAAAAGCTGCCGGAATTCACCTGATTCATGTAGAAATCAATAGAAACTTTTTTTTTAAATATTACTTAAATTGTATGTTTCCTTTCTTTCAACATTTCTCGAAAAAGAGAGTTCTATATAAAGTACATTCGCTCTTGTAACAACAAAATTGTTCTTGTTGCTTCTATATGAGCGGAACATGGAACAAATTCAATCTACGAGTAAGACGCCACTCACCTGGGCGAGAATTTTTTTTTTCTTTTTTCTTTTAAATTAAATAGACCAGATGAGGACATTACTTAGCCAAAGCTGATTAAGAGAAAAAAAGAGAGATGAGCAAGTGGTTTTTTTTAGCAATATAAAATACCCTGTTGTCTTTTAATGATAGATAAAATAAGTGCTGAAAGGATAAACTGATGGTCTATTTCCAATTTTCGACTTTTCCGTAAATTGGATTTATTTTTTTTTTTTTGAAAAAAAGAAAGAGAAAATCTCTTTTTTTTTATATAAACATATATGTATAGAAATGTTAACAGAACAAAAAGGAGAGTAGAATGCATTAGAATAGAAGCAAGAAAAAAAAATTTTTAAATAAAATGAATTTGTTGTTGTTGTTGTTGTTTGTTGTATATATAAGGATGGTTTTTTTTTTGCTGAAAAAAAAAGGAGGTAAGGGGGGATGTGTGTGTATGTTTATATGAATATATATATATATAAAATACATATTAAGGGAAACCATTTATCGTAAAGAAGTAGTTGAAGTAGTAGTGGTGGTAGTGGTAGTAGAGGATGAAAGATCATCTGTTGTTGTCATGGTAGTGGTTGTTGTGGTATAAACAGTCTTGTCATTCATGTTCGACTGTTGGGTAAAATAAACTAACCGTTGCTTTATACTTGTAGCTGTCTTCCATTCTTCCCAAACTTCAACTCGAAAAGAATCAATACGCTCTCTCTTTACCTGTCCTATACTACTTGCTTCCATTTGGGTCAAGACAACCAAGAGGATTCGACAGAGACGAGTAAACTTACGGAAGGTGGTATTGAGGTACTTGGTCACTTGTTCAAACAATAGGCCATTACCATAGCGAGTCATTTCCCCATTTTCTTCTTTTTCGTTTCTTAATAATTCAGGGTATAATTTTAAGGCTGGACAGACAGAATTACTGAATGATTCTAATTCACGCACGACTGCTTTTGCTTGATAAAGACAACGACAGAAATCAATAAAGGCCTTGTCAGAAACAGAGGTATTCACCAAAGATTTACGCAATATATGGTTGGTCGCTTTCATTTTTCTTTTTTTTCTTTTTAAATCTAAAAATTTTAAATGTAGGGTGATATTACTGTATCAGTGAAAATGGGGAAAAAAAGAAATATCTATATAAAAAAGAAAAAAGTGAATGAATAAAAATAACGGTTTTAAATATTTTTTTGTTTTTATACAAGACCCATTAGAATTCAATTTTATCCATATTTGAAAGAATCCCCTTTTTTTCCCGATCAATATCATACTTGTAGAAGTTTAAAGAAGTTTTTTTTTATAATTTAGAGAAGAAAATGGACCTTTTTCAGGCTTAAATGTCCGCTTTAGTCAAACTGCTTCTTTGATCTTCCTAAAGTTTCTATTCTTTTTGTTTTGGTTAGAGACTTGGGGGGAGAATAGAGCGTCGTTTTTATTAAATGTTGGGGGGACAAACACATTGCGTTTTGCTTTGTCACTTTTTTTTTTTTTTTTTTATTTGAGTCATAGTCCGGTCATCATAATAATGATGATGTAAAAGAAGAAAAAGAAAAAAGAAGAGAAGACTTGTTTTTTTTTCTGTTCTCTTTGTGTTCTTTTTTTCTGTCTAGTCTTATTTAGTATCTTTATTTATTTACATGGGAAAAACCTATATGCACATTTAGATACAACTGGGAGTCAATATACAATTCCTAGGAGAAATAGAAAAAGAAAGGAGCAGGAGTTTTAAATTAAATATCGATAAAATAAAATCGCATTTTATTCAATTGAATTTACCGTTTTTGTAGAAATCACAACTGGGTTACAATGTATTGATGGCTTTGGTATTTTAGTAAGTTTCAATAGAGTGAGAGATAGAAAGTCAATAGTAAGCAACAGAATATCTGTATTCAAAGCAAAGAGTAGACATGAACAGTCTAACTTGAATGCGTTATTACATCAATATAAAAATATCTGTTTTTTATCCAGCTAAACAATTATAGTATGTCTTTACCTATTGGTTATTGGATCAAGATTATATTTGGGGAGACGAGAAAAATATCGATATTTTTATCCCCCTTTACATAAAAAAAAAACCAGCAATTTGCCATTTTAGGGTAAGTAAAAAAAAATAAGATCGTATTCTTGCTAGTCATTTGAGTATCATGCTGCTCGATTCAAGCCAATTGTGTCTTTAGCCAAAAAAACAAAAAACAAAAGCCATTCTATGACTCTGAGTTATGTCTTGCCCTAATTGACCGAGATATGACTTTAGAGTAAAATGGCGCCAAAAAAGAAAGACTGTGTTTTTTTGGCCAATCAGAAATCAAGCGTGATGGGGTCACCAAATGCATGGGGGTCACACTTTTTTTTTCTTCCATCCTTCAACATGTCATACTTTGGTGTAGCTCCTCAACAACAACAACAAGCCATTAACCCTCAAAACATTGCTATGGCAGAGCAAGAACTTGAGATGGTGACTGATTTGTTCAACAAGTAAAATACAACCTATTGACGCGTCATCAACATACTAATTATCCCATAGAATTGTTGATTCATGTCATGCCAAATGTATTCAATCCGATGGACAGGCTGATCTCACCCAAAAAGATACTTTATGTATTGACAACTGTGTTGCCAAATTCTTTGATACCAACACAAAAGTAGGAGAAAAGATGCAAAAGATGGGTCAACAATAATACTATTTAATAAACTTATGGATTGGGTCGACTGATCAAAGCATCAATTCGCATTGAATTCGACTGTTTCCATGACTTTGAAGATCCATCGTCATTGTCATCATCTGTGTCTATTGAGATGACTTGTATGGGTTTTTCCACTATAGTTTTTGTTAGGTGTCAATACATATACATTCAACCCAACTTACAGCGTGGTGTTTCTTCTGCTCTTTTTCTCTTTTTGTCTACAGACACTGTCTTCTTATCAGATGCTTGTGCTAATTTGGATTTATATTGGCTGTATTGTCGACTCATTTCATACGAGTTCATCCAACCTTCTGGCCAACAAGACAAAAGCTATTAAAAGATGAATGAATAGATCTCTACAAACATGACTTACTCTTTGATACATGAGTTTTCTTGCTTTACCATCAGAAGCAAGTCCTTCTTGTTTCTTTTCAGGGTCCTTGTGTAATCTACAGAAAAAGTCAATTATCCTAATGGCATCATGGCAATAACACATACGCTACTTGATTGGCAATATGTATTGATTGTTCTTCTGTCTGTATAATATCATAAAGAATCTTTCTTACTTCATCATTGCATTTGAACTTGGGTGTAGGGGTTGATTCTTCTTCTTCTGGCTTAGAAGGCTCTTCTGTTCCAAGTGAGCTTATTGATGAGTCATGATTGTTACTTACGTGATTGGGCCAATTTCTCATGAAACAGTCTTTGTTGTTCAGGCATCATTCGGTCAATGGTGTGCTTTAACAAGATGGCTAATTCATCAATTTCCTGTTGTAATTCATCCACTCTCATCTGCCCTGACTTGGTCGTAAGGAATTTCTATCATGGCTTGTTAGAATAACTACAGAATAATGAGCAGTTTACCTTGAGTGTGAATCGATTATAAGGCAAGATTTTCATGAGATGTTGAACAAGGTTTTCGTCAATCGTCTTGTGTTTACGTAAAGCAACAAGACCTGCTTCCAATACAGTAGGCTTCAATGTCAATGGAAATTTAGCCTTGTTTTCAAATGTCTCGAATTGAACATCATGTCTTAGTTTATCCATCAAGGCTTCAATCTCTGGATCCAGTGGTTTCTACTCAAATAAGACTTAAAGAAAAGCAGTATATCACTTACAAGTTCAAGAGATACATTCGATTTCTTCTTTTTATCTACAGGTTCACTTGGTTCTTCTTTATTTTCAACTTTCTTTTTCTTTTTGGGAGGTTGTTCTGTTACACTTGCTACTTTCTTCAGAGGTGCACTGCTACTGCTTGTACTGGTACTTGGTTTAAGCTTTGCTTCTGTCTTGGCAGGTTGAGAAGCGCTTGGTTTCTTGACTGGTTTTGTCTTTTTGTTTTCATCTTGTTCGTCTGTCTTTTTACGTTTATCTGTAGCAGGATGACTACTTGGAGTAGCCGTGGTGTTGGTAGTAGTAGTAGTAGTAATAGTAGTAATAGTAGTAGTAGGTGTAGTAGGTGTAGCCATAGTATTTGTTGTGGATGGCGTAATAGATGTTGTTGGTTTCTTGTGAGAAGCTGCAGACGATGAAATAGAAGGTTTTGATTTAGCAGGTGCTTTTCGTTTGGTTGTTGTCGTTGTCTTCTTTTCTCTATCAAATCATGATGAGTTTATCCATCCTAAACAAAGACTATTACCCTTCATGGCCATCATGCCCATCTAAAGGACCATGATAAACAAAGAATCCATCAAATTCAGGCACACTGTATTCTTGAGGTTCATCCAACAACATTTCACTGTCATCAATAAAGGGATCTTCAAAGTCATAATCATTGCCAACTTGTTTTTTCGATTCCTGTTATGATCAATAGAGATTCGTATGAGTCAGACTTACTGTCGCGTTTTCTTCATCGTCGTCATTGTCATCGTCTTCTTCTTCATCCATGGCATAGTTTTCTGCTTTCTTTAACAGTTCTTGATAAAACAAGTCGTCTGGCGTGTTAAGAGGTGGAAGATCCTCATGGGATTCTTGTCTTTTGAGTTCACGCTTATAGAGTTGTCGATAATTGAATATGACTGGACGCGGTTGATCATTCGTATTGATATGAATACGAACTGTTTTGGCTGCCTTCATGGATAAAGAGTGATTTAAGGCGCGTGCGTAAAAAAAAAATGCTTTTTTTAGTTTTTGTATTAGCCAATAAAATCTCTCTCAAGGCATCTCCTCAATAGACTGAACAGACTTCTTTTTCGTGTCAGAGTATAACGACAGTTGTCGTCTATGATGGATTACATTGATCACTTACTTTTCTGTATATCTTCAGGGCTATTATCAATTTCATATTTAAATCTGATCAAATAGAGATAATTTGATAAAATTCAATTTTATCATTCCCTTTTTGGGTATAATTGATTCAGTCCTTTTTTTTTATACCCTTTGCTGTGTATACAAAAGCCATCCTTGCTGATATAAGTTAGAAGGCTTGGATTCTTAGCTTTCATTCTTGACTTGTGTTCTCAAGGAATTCTAGTAAAATGAACAAAAATACCTATCTTTTATGATTTGGTGTTTAAGGAAGGAAAAATAGGACAACGCTACCGTCTTTTCTTTTCTTTTTTTCGAGCACATAAGGAGTCTTTTCGTTACATATTATATCTTTAGAATTTGTTTTGTTGTTGTTGTTGTTCATCTGTAATGCCCATATCATGCTCATTCTTTCAAACATTAGGTTCAAGTGAAATGTGTTTGACTAAATGCATTCTTTGACTAAAATAAAGACTTTCTGCTCTTAAATAGTAGACCCAGAAAAAAAACATGCTGTACATGAATTAAATAAAGTAAAGTAATTCATTATTCATTTCTCAAAAGAAAAAAAAATATCCTTAAACCAAAAAGAAAAGTGATTTATAAGTCAATGCTCATTGTAACAACCACCCAATCATATGGTTTGGATCTTCGAGTGTAGTACAACATGGTTTATGTTGTGTAAATAGATAAAGTTAGGGTTAACATTTACTATGGCTCTTTTTTTTTTCGGTTGTTTTTATCGGTAATGCATTGATTAGATCAAATTGAAAAGAATAGTTTGACATATAAAAAGACTCCCTTTTTTTTATTCTCTTCTTCATATTGAATTTATGTACATTTGTATAAATAAAAAGGGAGTGTGCATCTGATAATAATAATAATAATAATAACAAAAAAAAGGGGAAAGTGTGTGTATGTGTGCGTGAGACTGAGCCAATGCCTTAAGTATACCGCTTTATATATTTTTTCAACTTGTTTCCCCTATCGTCATGCCGTGTCAATTATATAACCTCATAGACATTTTACACTCCTATCATGTTAAGTAACATTTCTCTACTTTATTCTCCTCGCATGTCTTTTTTGTTTATAAATTTGTATCCTTTTTCTTCTTCTTCTTACTCTCTTTCTTCTTTTTTTTTCCCGCGCATTATCATAAAAGTGAACTTAAATGAACTTTATACAGCAACCTATACCTCCTTCATTCAATGATTATATGATACCCCACAAAGAATATAATGACCAAGACCAATACCCTTCTTGTGAAGTATTTGAGACAATTATCCAAGATTATCTGCACAACTTGTCATTAAAAAAAAGAGACAAGGCATTGATTGATCAAGATCGATATGATATGATTTTGCAGGTCTTGAAGGACCCTCGTAACACAGCTATCTCTACAGCTCAATTCAGGTTTTGGGTCAAGAAAATGTTTCAATTATCACCTCGACAGGCTGTTTGTCATGATGGAAAACCAGTAGCAATGAGAGAGCAAATCTATGGTATTTTAGTACGTGCACATCGTGAAGCACATCATGGAGGAAGAGACAAGACATCTGCATTGGTAAGCAGTCTATCAAGTAATAAAGGGTATTTATGCAATCTTAGGTTCGAAAGCGATATTCTTGGATTCCAAAGGAATTGATCGCTCGATTTGTTCGACATTGCCCATTCTGTATCTCACGTAGGAATGGAAGTCAATACAATTCTTTAGGTATTTTCTTGCCTGTATCACCACCTACTTATGCCATGTCAAAACAAAACAGTGTAGATCGATCTTCAACACAACCCTCAGACGAAATGGTGTTGATGGCAGAGCAAGAACACTATTTCAACCCAAATGATTTTACATATATGCCTGATATCTTATTCAATCATTATCCTATGTTTGAACAAAAGCCTATGACGATCATTCACCCAACATTAGAATTGTATGACCCTCTTATGGACAATCTTGAATTCTTGATGGGTGGTTATAAAATGACCTCTCCTTCACTATCACTTTCAGCGTCTTCTTGTTCTTCGTCACCTGTTCATCCAGCTTATCATGAGACAAGTGTCATTCAATGCACAGCAAATCAACGTCAATATGCATTGAATCACTTTTTATTTTCACAGCAATAAGCATATCCCTTCCCTTGCTCTTTTTTTTCACTCCTTTTTTTTTTTCTTGCTTTATGATTAACATGATACTATCCCTATGCTCTATATGACACCTTTTTTTTTATGCCCATATAACTAATTATATACCTCTTTTCTATGTAAATATTTTTTTTCTTTTATTATTATTATTATTATGTATTTAATCAAATATCTCAAGCGGCGCGAACTTATCCACATTAAATAAAAATTGATTTTGTTCATCATCTTGTTCCATAAAATGATGTGGCCAAATGACTAAATGACCTCGAATATGGGCCAAGACTTGTCGTACAGCTACTTGTTCATGATCGGTCAATGGTAAGGCTGTCACATTGGCAGCCGCCGCTGTTGTCTTGGTACCACCGTGCTTGATATCCACACGACCTAAAAACAATTTTGCCATCTTGTTGTAATGATGGTATTGATCCCAATTACGTACGTTATTATCAGGCGTGACCAAGAAACATCGGCGAAACAAGTCCGTATTGATCCTGGCCAACATGTGCCAAAACACTTGAAATGTATCGGCAAGTGGGTCTTGAAGGATTTGATAGACATCGCCGACCGTCTTGTTTTCCATATCGAGTGGATCTAATCTTGCACTACTATAATAATTGGATTTGGGTTCAAACTCACGTGTGTCGAGTGCCTTGGCCTCTGGTTTTGTTTGCCCTGTGGCGTGGAACTCTTGCCATGCTTTTCGATCCCCGTTGTTGTCTGTGTCTGGGTCCAGTGAGGTCCAGAAATCAAGGTAGTCTTCTTTTGTACTTTTGCGTTTATGAAATACAGACTTGGCAGGTGAAAGAACAGAGGAACGGGGCGATTGTGTCTTGGCTGCCGGACCATTGCTATCACTACTGTCTGAACTGTCTGAAAAGACATCTTCTAATTCAGACATGGATAACACATCTTGTTCTTCTTGCTGAATTTGATCTTTTTCTTGTTGAGTGGCAGTAGGGTTCGTTGTGACTTGAATATAAGGAGGTACACAATCCACACTTTCGTTCAAATGACAATCAGACCAGACCGGTTGCTGGAAATAATCGCCTTGTGTGTATCGTTCACGGTCCATACGGTCCACATCCAGCCCGATATGTTCGCACATGAGTCGCATACGAAGTGTGTGCGCAAATCGGCTTACTTTGACTGGCACATTATCAAACAATGTTTCTACCAAGTTCTTTTCGTCTTGTATGCATGCAGCAATTTCAGAATCTCGCGTACCCAACATGGATCGTTCGTTGATATTAGCGGATCCCATAATGACCGTCTTGTCATCCACAATCATGGTCTAATATACATACATACAGATCAATAGGTTATTATAAGGGTGATGATCTTACCTTGGCATGGATGTACACTTGCTCAGTAACGTATTGTCCGTTCAATTTACCCCAATTACGTAGGCCATAGAAATTAATGTATTCATGCGTATTCAAGACACCTGCATCATGCAATCTGGCCAACAGGGAATGGGGTCCCCGAGCCACAGAAAAGTACTGGCACTGCATAATGATACGCACTGTTGTGGCTTCTGTTTCATCTATGTTGGCTGGAAATCCAGGCACCAGGGGTATAATAATAATCGCTCTCCATTTCTTGCCCTGTTGATGGGCACGTACAATGCGCTCAAATAAAGCATCGCCAATCTTGTTCTCAATCACTGCATTTCCACTCTGAGTTGATGTCACAAAGAACTGGTTTTCTAAAAGAGAGGTTGAGTTTGAGTCATGTGTGACATAGAGAGTATCTACATTACCTATATAGACAAGGTAGTTGGAGTCTCGAATACTTTCGATATAAGCTGTTTGGATACTGTGTTCAACATAGTCGATGGATCCTATGCTCCATGGCGATACACTTCTCAGAATTTGGACTCGACACGATGTTGAAAGATGGGGATGTCCAATACGTGCATCTTCCTGCCCGATCTGATGAATATACGTATCAGGTGGCGGCACCAACATGGGCGTAGGCCGTTTAGGAGCCGCTGGTTTCTTTCGACGCAAAAAGTTCCATCGTTGAATGAAATGACGGGCGACATCTCGTGCAGACGGACCTACGATGCGCATGGACATATCATGCCAGGGCATACGAGGCAATAAGGTTCTGTCCTGATTGTCTTCAAATGGTTTGTCCAGTGTATGGAAATCGATAATACGGGGATTGGAATAGTCTTTACCAGGCCATATTTGAGGATGTGTATTTGAAGGGTCGAGTTCAGGACTCGCATCGTCCACTACTTGGTGAGCAGGTGTATCCCAACGTCCAAAGCATTGGTCAATGCCACCAATAAAGGCCACTTCATGATCGACCACACAAATCTTTTCATGATGTGCCCAGAAAAACACCATGTCCTTGTTAAAGACATCAAGAGCACGGGAAGGATGTCGTTGAACGAAAATGTTGGGTGATAGAGAAAGCAAGTGTCGCTTTGCTTGGTGAGAGAACAAAGGAAGAGCCATGGCTACTTCTTTGTACATCACAATATAGACTTTTATACCTTGATCTGCTTTGCGTCTCAAGACACGATCAAGTCGCCATTCGAGATGTTGAGCTGCTGGTCTTCTTAGAAACTAAGCTAGATAAGATGGATACACACATTCCCACTGTACTTACTAGTTCTGGAGATAACCACCAATCATGAATATAAATACATTCTTTTGCGTTTTCTAGAGCAACCGATACATCCCAAAAATAATCTCTTCCATCCACATACCAAGTCGTTGGTGTGTTGTCACGTATAGGGGCAAAACTCTTGAACCGATTCTCTTGACACCAGATTGAGTTTTGCTTGGCAAGCAAGATTGATCTCTCAAACTGTTTCGCAGCATATTCACTCTTTGTTCGAAAATGATAAACACCATTCATGTTTTTAAAGCACAAGGTGGATTTACCTGAAGTCCAGTGAGAAGCATTTGCAATGGCATTTTTGAATTTCTTTCGACCGGTTTTTGCATGTGCTCGCTTGTCATGAAAAAACCCAAGTCGATGAATATCAAAAGCTTGATCAAACAGAAACACATCGTAAATCTCGGTCTATATTCTGTGTGTCAATAGAATATGATTCTGTCTGTCTGTACTTTACTTGACTGGGATCGTCCACGCATACGATATAACTATCACGCACAAGAAACCATTTAGGTTTGCATCTTCTTTTGCTTCCTGTTGTTGGCAAGACACACATCATACTGTCTTGCATAAATGCTCGCTTATGTCTAGGATCACGATCTGTTCTGCTCTGGAAAAAAGCATATCCTTCTTTCCCATGATAACTTGTCACGTATTTGGCAGACAATTGCATGCCCAAGGCTGAAATTTCTAAAAATTTGCAGAGTCGATTGGTGTGTCCACAAGGCCCGATTGAGATAATAAACTGATTTAAATAGTCCTCCATCGCTTGTAATACTTTTTGATCTGCCTTGACAATATCGACAACCTGACTGGATATAACGCTTGCAGCTGGTGTTTGTAAAGGTGTGTCTTGTTCATGCACAGTAGCAAGTGCCATAACAGTCTCTTCGTCCATCACCAATGGTGTGTACTGATTGATGTCAGAAGCACTTTGCTGTCTGCTTGGGCTTATTTTCTTTTGTTTTCGAAAATGATCTTTTGGTATACTGGGGAACTTGGGTGTACGTATACTGTGTGTATTATTACTTATTGTTTTATACCGGTAATGCAGCTTGACGAAATCCCAATATCGACGATACACAAACCAGGTGATTTTCCCAGATCCAGTACCATATTGTACAGTAATTTTGAACAAGGTACCACGAAACTTGGACTTTTTAGGATCTTGGTCTTCTTGGTCTTCTTTAGTGACTCTGACTGTCATGCTGTTGAGGAAGATAGGCATTCGTCTTGCATTGTTTTCGTCTCGAGAAAAACTCATGGCCATGACAAGTGGTGTAATCATATTGACTTCTGCTTGTCGTTCGAGATTATGGGTTGCTTGTTTAACAGGAAGTTGGATACGACTACCCATCCATTTCTTGATTCGTTTCCAACCATCTTGAGGTGCTGTTTCGAATCGATTGAATCCTCGACGAGTGGAGCTGGGCCTTTTTTCATTATTAGGAGGTAAGGATTGAAACGATTGAAGGGTTGTCAGATGTGGTTCTCGAGACCCAGAAGAAGAAAAATAGTCATGCTCAATAAGACCTAATGGTTTATTTGGTATCTGATCTTGGTGTTTTTGCATTAATGAAGAAAAAAAAAGAATAAATTACCAAGGAATTTTTTTTTGTGATTTCTCAAATTACAAACGATGTCAAAATGACGAAATTTCAGCTCGTTACACTGAAATGGTGTGTTTTACAGAAAGTTTAATTGAATTTGCAAAAAGAATTTTCAGCCAATAGCAAGCAATGAAATGAAAACAAAAGAGAAATACAACAAAGATGGAAGCCAAAAGGACATATGGCTTTTTTAACTTGATTTTTTTTGGTCGAATCTATCTTTACTGTCGAGCTTTCCATGTCTGTGTACGATATACATAAAAGCAGTAGTCAGATTAAAAATCGTCTGAAAATGAAAAAAGCAAATCCAAGCAAAAACCGTCACTTTTTGTACACCACCTTAAAGAAAAAAAACTTTTTTTCATTCTTTTTAGCTTTCTTGTCTAGAGGAGAAACACCACAAGATGGATCAGAACACTGTCTATCAATTATTTGTAGCTACTTATCACCCTGATCCCAATGTACACAAGCAGGCTGAATTAAATATCAGAAATGTAAGAGAAAATTTATTATTTTTCAGGTACTAAGTATTCTATGATAGATTGAATCCAATAATGGTTTCTTGCCTATTGTCTTACAAATCCTTGCTTCTGAGGAACTTGAGCTCGGTGCTCGTCAAGCAGGTAAATACACATCGATGTCAAAGTACGTTGTGCATTTATCATTATTATTTAGCTGCCATTTACTTCAAGAACCGTTTGAACAAAGCTTGGGATGGTGAACGCGAGTCTGCTGTGCCTATTAATAATGATGACCGCAACATGGTCAAGCAAACCATTCTTCAAGCTCTCGTTACAGCTCCTAATCAAGTCCAGTAAGTATTGATCATGTGTACAAAAGAGGGAGGAAAAAGGAGGTACTTATCTATTTTCAGGGTACAATTGACCTCTACTTTAAACACTATCTTGACCAACGATTTTCCCGATAACTGGCCCAACTTTGTCAGCGAACTCGAAAGATTATTGACTTCAAGTGACTTTCGCTTAGTATATGTTGGTTTGTTGGCTTTACGCGAAGTTGTGAAGGTCTATCAGTAAGTTGTTTATATGTGGTTGAACATGAACTGATCAATAACAAAATTAGATGGAGAACTGGTAACAAGCGTGAACCTTTCAGACAGTTGGTCAAATTGACTTTCCCTGCTATTCAAAACATCAGCTCCAACCTTATTTCCAACGATAGCATTGAAGCAGCCGAGATGTTGAAGTTATCTCTCAAGATTTACCATACTGCTATTCAAGCTGAATTACCCAAGACGTTGCAAGACCCTGCTTCTCTTGTTCCTTGGGGTACTTTGTTCTTACAGTTGATTGAAAAGAAAATCCCCAACGAGGCTTTACCTGCCGATGCTGATGAACGTGATCGATACCCATGGTGGAAAACAAAGAAATGGGCTTACCACTGCTTGAACCGTCTTTTCTCCAAGTATGGTAATCTTGCCACTATGCCCCGCAGCACACCTGAATACAATGCTTTTGCAAAGCAATTTTCTGCTAACTTTGCACCTAACATTCTTCAAGCTTATTTGGGTCAAATTGAACTTTGGATTAAGAAAGAAATCTGGATTCCTAGCAAGTGTTTAGCCTTGACTTCTTCCTTTTTCGCTGACTGTGTCAAGAACAAGACTACTTGGCAATTGTTGAAGCCTCATTTTGAAACTTTGGTGGCTCATTTCATTTTCCCTCAACTCTGTTACTCTGAACAAGATCAAGAATTATGGGATGAAGACCCTGTTGAATTTGTTCACAAGAAGGTAGACCCTCTTGAAGACTTCCACTCTCCTCAAACAAACGCCATGAACTTCTTGATTGATCTTGCTCGTGATCGCAAGAAGCATACTTTTATGGGTATCTTGAATTTTGTGAACGGTATTCTCAACAAGTACTTGGAAACCCCTGAAGATCAAAAGAACCCCAAAGAAAAGGATGGTGCTCTTTGTATGATTGGTGGCCTTGCCTACCAAGTCCTCCAAAAGAAATCCCCTGTCGCCAACATGATGGAACCTTTCTTTGTTACACACGTCCTTCCTGAATTCAAGAGCAAGTACCCCTTTTTGAGAGCGCGTGCTTGTGACTTGACCAGACATTTCAGTGATTTGGATTTCAGCAACGAACAGAACTTAGCTACTTTGTACCAGTGTTTGACAGACTGTATTCGTGATACTGAATTGCCTGTCAGAGTCCAAGCCTGTCTTGCTCTTCAACCCTTGATTCGCCACGAAAGTGTCAGAAATGCCATGGCTCCCAACTTGCCTTTTATCATGCAAGAATTGCTCAACTTGACCAACGAGATTGATATTGATACTTTGGCCAACGTGATGGAAGAATTTGTCGAAGTGTTTGCTGAGCAATTGACACCTTTTGCTGTTCAACTCTGTACTCAATTGCGTGATACTTTCTTGCGTATCATGGAAGAATTGAACCAAAACAACACTTTGCAAAGTGCTGATGATGATGAATTTACAGGTGATATTGATGAATTGAGTGACAAGACCATGGCTGCTATGGGTGTCCTCAAGACCATTGGTACCTTGATCCTTAGTTTGGAAAGCACACCTGAAGTGTTGCAACAATTGGAAAACGCACTTTTGCCTGTGATTACTTATACATTGGAAAACAAGATCTTGGACTTGTACGACGAAATTTTTGAAATCATTGATTCTTGTACTTTCTCTTCTAAGCGTGTTACACCTACTATGTGGAGTGTGTTTGAGTTGATCTATGCTGCCTTCAAGGACAGTGGTATTGACTACATGGAAGAAATGTTGCCTCCTCTTGACAACTACATCTCTTATGGTAAGGATGTGTTTGTTTCTAATGAACATGTTCAACATTTGATGTTTGATATCATTGATACTGTAATGAAAAGCGATCGTGTTGGTGAAAACGACCGTATCTGTGCCTGTAAGTTGATGGAATCTGTCTTGCTCAACTGCCGTGGTCATGTTGATATGTGTGTTGGCCCTTTCCTTAACTTGGCATTCCAATACATCTTTACTGGATCCATGAAGACAACTGAATTCAAGGTTCACTGTATTGAAGTTGTCGTCAACTGTATTTACTACAACCCTGCTCTGACCCTTCGTTTGTTAGAAGAAAACAACTGGACTCAAGGTTTCTTTACTCTCTGGTTCAACACACTCAGCAAATTCTCTCGTGTTCATGATAAGAAGCTTGTCATTGTCGCCCTTTGTGCTCTTTTGGAATTGCCTACTGACATGATTCCTTCTTCTCTTCAAGCCGGTTGGTCTCAAATCTTGGCCTGTATGGTTCAAGTTTTCCAGACACTTCCCAAGGCTATGGAAAACCGTGAAAACATGGAGAAATTATACGGTGACTTTGACGATGACTTTGGAGGTGACGATGATTTCAGTGGTTTTGATGGAGCCAGTGGAGACGAAGATGAAATTGAAGAGGGAGGAGATGATGAAGATATTCCTGATGAAGACAATGAATATATTGAATACCTTGCCAGCCAAGCAGCATCCCATGCAGACGGCTTCAGTGATCTTGATGAAGATGAGGAAGAAATGGAAGAAGAAATCTTGTTTGAATCACCCTTAGACGAAGTAGATCCTTACATTCGATTTGAGCAAGTATTTAGAAACTTACAGCAGAACAACAGTGCTTCTTATACCCTATTGACAAAGGATTTGAATGCTGAACAACAAGCACAAATTATGACTGTTTTATCTACTGCTGAACAACACCGTACTGCACCTGCACCTGTTCCTGGTACTCACTAATTGCATTCTACATAAAACAAAGTAAAAGAAGAAAAAAAGAAAGAAAAAAAAGAACACTTATATATAATTATATTATAGCCCTTTCATCCCCTTTTTTAGAATATAAATAAAATAATCGTTTTTATAAATTCATTTAAAATTATTCAATATGTGGTGGAAGCCGGATAGGAAACATCCCTTCCACCTCAATGTTCACTCTAAAAAGCGACCATTTTTGTGTAAATGTATTGATTTTGAGCAACCCATGACATGCTCAAAATCAACCCCTTATCTTGCCGAGAAGCATACTAACTTGCCCGAAACTGCTCTTTCAAAGCAACTGTAGAAACGTCTTTAGCCAAAGGAATACCAAGCAAGAGGGGATACTTTGTAGCACCACGATGAAATAAACGCGAAAGCAAAATAAATAAAAAAAAAACGGATTGCTTATACTCAATTACAGTAAAAAGGGAGTGTCGCTGTGAATTAATCAGAAAGTCAGAACTATATTTTATGGCTTCGTATTCTGCTTGATTAGCTTACACTCATCTTTTTTTTAGCAAACCTGATCCGTTTGTTAATGGTGTCTTTTTGACCTAAAAAACTATTACTTTATTAAGCTAAAAGAGGCCTTGCAAGGAAGTTCATTCAAAAAAGGAGTGTTTTATTGATGTCAATAATTAAATCAAAACAAATAAATCGAATTTGTCAAACTATACAACCAAAAAAGAATGAGAAAGAGAGGAATTTACTACAAGTCATGGTTTCCTGTATAATTCAACTACACTGTTTTTACATTCTATCTGATTGAAACAAGTGATTCTATTCTGCTAAAAAAGAAAGAGACAATAAAACAAGATCAATGCGTGCCTTGAAAAAAGAAGACTATCAAATTAAAGCACAATTAATACATAAAATTTTTCTTTTTTTTTTTTCACTCAAAAAAATGTATTCTGAAGGTCGTTGGGAGGACTTTACGTTTGAAGCACCAAAGAAGACCCTCTTTCTTTCTTTGCCAAATAGCATTATGGAGCATATTTGTCGCTATTTGACAAATCTAAAAGACAAAAGAGAGGCCTGTTTAATACACCCGCGTTGGAGCACAGCAGCACAAAAAGTGTTATGGGAGAAACCAAGAATACACTTGCCAGAAAGCTTCCGCATATTTATAAAGACTATCAGCACTATCAACAAAACAGCACTTTTGGTCAAAGATATGCAGTTAACCTTGCTTGATCATGTAGATGACTTATTTGAACCCATTGTCAAATCAACACAAGATCGACATCAAAACTTTCATTACTTTGGACCAGATTTATTCATCAAGATTGCCACAGTTTGTGAAAACTTGACCAATCTCACTATTTATGGATGGAATTTGAAATCAAAGGATATAGAAACAATCGCCGCCGTAGCCAGAAATTTGAAATCATTGTACATCATAGGCGCGTGTACCATACCTAACGATGGATTATCTGGTCCCATTGTTCTCAACAGTTGCTTGCCTCGCCTGACTGAGCTTAGATTGGATGGCGACTTCAGATTGACTTCAGAATGGGCCAATACACTGGCCAACAGGGCCAATAGCCTGACTCACTTACAAATCTCTCTCAAGGGCATGCAGCAATACACTTTGGAAATCTTGTGTAATGGACGTCTAAAACTAAAAAAGTTGATCTTGACAGATGCAGTGCCTCTTGTGGACAATTTGGTCTATAAGATACTAGAGGCTTTTCCTGATCTTACACGCTTTTGTATTGAGGGATCAAAGAATTTGACTTGTATGGCCATTGCTCATGTTTTGAGATGCTGCCCTCGTCTCGAGGATTTAGAGATACGTGCTAGACCAGATACGTTGAAAAACTGTCGTCATTTGGAAGAAGATCTAATTCGCCTTCAACAATATTTCCAGTCTTACAATGCAGCTCAAATGGCTAGACCAGCTCGTCTCTTATTGGAAAATATGACAATCACTGATCTTCAAATGCGTGTATTAAGCCCTTGTCTCCAACACATTCAGATCCTTGGGTTCAAGAGTTGTCAAGAACTCACCAATGAAGGTCTAGAGGTGTCTTTGATTGACACACATTCACCTGTGAAATACCTGCGTGTGATTCAGTTGATTCAATGTTCTCGAATTGATTCAAACATCTTATTAGCCTTTTCTCGCTCTCAGTATATTACCAAATCATTGATGCGTGTTCATATGGATGCTTGCGGTAAAGTAGTCCCTAGAGACATCTACAATCTATCCCGCAGTGGTGCTCAGCACAATTTGCGTCAAATTTGTTTGGTCAATTATGACAGCATTCAGCATTCTGTGATTGGCAGTTTCAATGAAGAAGTGGAATACAAGTCCAAGATCATATTGAATAGTGCCAATATAGATGCCTTGTCTCATTCTACAGACCCTGAATTACTCCCAGTGCCTACTGATCGTTATATCACTGGTCCTCAACTGATCATTTTGGCCAAGAGACTCAATATGGCCTTGAATCAATTACAAGAGCTTTTGGATGATGTTGAAGAAGTAGGTTGTCTTGACCAAACTCTTATTTATATGTGTTTATTAGGAAGAACAACAAGGGAAAGAAAAACAAACATACGAGACTGATCATAGTAAAGTCGTTTGTTCATCTACCAACAGAGTGTACTCATATTTTTGTTAGAACCCAACCCACCAAAATTGGATAATAACCGACTCTCTGCATTAAAGAATCAACAAAGACCCCCTACACCTGCTCTTTGGTTAAATGATCTCAAGACAAATGGTAGCATTCCAATGGCTACACCTAAAGACAATAGACTAGAACAAGTGTATGCAGAAACAAGTGCTTCTTCATCTAATTCATTACAGTCTTCCGAAGAAGGATCATATAATTCCTATGATGAAGAGATTGAAGAAGACAATACTGAATACGATACGCGTGAAGTAGATAGTGACGACGAAGAGGATGAAGAAGAAGCATATGAAAAGAGTTCAAATCTTTTGGATGAAGTGAAGCCAGTAAAAAACCATTGGAATAATTCTTTGTTTGATACAGCTCAACAAGGTCCTGGATTTAATTTGGGTGGTTGGGGTGTTAGCACCGACAGTAGTTGGGCCACTCCTTCCTCTTCAACTTCTTTACTGGGCAGATCTTCTGTTCGTAAACCTGTTTCATTTGAACTAGTGCAACAACAACAACAACAGCAATACCATTACCACCAACCATCACCACAACAACAACAAACAGAATCAGCCCAAGCTTGGAATGGTTTCCGTGAAGAAAAATATCATAATCAATGGCAACAAGCTCCTCTGGAAGTCAACCATCATGCTGCCTATACTAAAAAGACTCGTACCACAGCTCATTTTAGACAGACTCCTGCTGTAGTTGATAGTGAAGGTTGGGGTAGCCCACACACTTATGTGGCCTGGAATGATGTTCAAAAACAAGGTTATGTTCAAGACGTCTTAGAGCAACAAAAGAAAACTACATTCTGGCGTCAAGAAAACGATCAATGGCATGTCTTGAACAGTGAGGAGAAACAAGCCAGCCAGCAGACTGATCAATTCTCAAAAGCATCCTATACAGACACTGTTGTCAATACGTTATGTGATGATGATTTTCCAAGCCTTTCCGATGCTGCCAAGAGATCGCCTATTTCAGTATCTGATTTAAGAGAAGATTTAAACGCAGAGCAAGACAGACGCTATCAACATAATGACAGACAACGTTTGCGTCCTCGTTCAAGCTCCATAGTTAGTTCTGAAGGCAGTGTTAATTGGAATCAAGACGATGCAGATGATACAGTCATCAAATTACATCGAGATACACCTACAAGGTACTCAAGTCAAAGCAAAAAAACTGAACTCGTCAATGGCAATAAATGGGCCACTGCAACCGAATGGAAGACGCGCAAAGAAAACAATGACGAATATCATAAGCATAAAGAAGCCTGGGGCACAGACAAACATGCTACTACTATCACTAATACTAACACAGCCACACTTACTACTACTACTACTACTGCTGCTGCTGCTGCTGCTGCTGTTACTCATACTACTAATACTACCACACATGCTCCTAAAGGAAGCTGGCAGGATCATTTCTCTGCTGAAGGTAAACTAAAATGTCTGTAGGATGCATTAGGCAATTAATCATATTTTAGCTATTGAAAGCAAAGAAGCCAAGAACGAATGGTCTTCTTACTCTCAGCCAGCCAACAGACGCACCTTTTCCCGACCAGCACGAACTTCTACACCTCGTTGTTCCTCTGCCAAGGATAATGCAGTGTATGAACGCGAAGTTAACAATTGGAACGAGTTCAGCACAACCAACAGTAATTCCTCATTGTCACCTCGTTCTGATACTGCTTCATCTGTAATTAAGGAATTAAAGGCAGATACGCCTATTCTTGTGGACACTGATAATTCTCTTATTCCCACCACTACTACCAATGTTATTACCCAAAAGCCAGATAGCGTCTCAAAGAACGATGTCTGGAGTTCGATTGATGAATTGAACTTTAAGCATGAACCTTCCAAGACAGCACAAACGTTTGACGAAATCCTTGATTGGAATTCAGTCCAACAGAGCCTTCATCAACCTCAAAAGAAACAAGATGTGGAGCCTTTATTCCATTTTACAGATGTTGTTTCTGGCACAGTAACTAAAGAAGAAATCAAGCGACAAGAAGCTGCAGAAGCCAGTGATGATTTGGTCGACTTTGCTGAATTTGTTGTTAGCAACAATAGTAACAACAGTAACAACAGCAACAATAACAACAACAACAACAATCCTTCTGAAGACCTGTTGGATGTATTTGATAGTTTTGATTCTCCTCAGACGTCAAACGACAATATTAGTATCAATAATACCTCTGTTGATCAAGCCATGTCTTTGTTTGACTTTCAACCACAACAATCATCAACACCACCACCTCTTCAGCAGCAGCAGCAACAACAACAACAACAACAAGAACAACAAGAACAACAAGAACAACAAGAACAACAAGAACAACAAGAACAACAAGAACAACAAGAACAGCAAGAACAACAAGAACAACAACAACAGCAGCAGCAGCAGCAACAATCATCAACACCACCACCTCTTCAGCAGCAGCAGCAACAACAACAACAACAACAACAACAACAACAACAGCAGCAGCAGCAAGAAGAATCTCTTGTTAAAAAGAAAAGCAAGCAAGTAAGATTAAGAATACAAGCAAAGGATAGCTCAGAATTCCTTGATCTTTATTTACACAATGTAAGTATATTATAAATTTCATGCACAGTTATTAACATTCAACAATAGTATGATGATATAAGGGACTCAGTTGAAAAGTTCTGTCAAGACCATGACATGGTAAACTACGTCGATGGATTATACCAACAGGCTATTGAGAGATGGACAGCACGTCAAACCAAGTCTATCCTGGGCAAGTCAAAGAAGCCAAAGAAAAACATATAATAATAAAAATGTACATGATTTCCAGAAATGAAAAGCTGTACATGTTTAATTCCTAACTAAGCTATCTCTCTATGCCTTATCTGTACTCTCCATGTCTTGCCTTATCACCTGCCTCCATTCAAACAAGGACATAATATGCTTACAAATAACATTCATTAATAAGTTTAACCTATCCCATGCACGTAACAAAGAAACAATGCCACATCATAAAAAGTCAACTCGACACTCCTTATTTAATGATGAAATAAGAGCGAGCCCTTTGTGTCTTATACGTATTTAATTATTTTCTCTCAACATGAACATGACAATGCTTAAGATGCAGAACTGCATCTAACGGCTGACATTGTGGAATTGTGCGTATATACTCAACTCTCTTTTACTTTTCCTAACAAGGTAATGATGACTGGCATCGTGGAATTATGCGCATATACTCAGTTCTACCAATAGAAACCACAATTTTCTACTGGAGTACTACAACATACTACCTTCTTACAAATTCACTGGAATGCACTCTATGTAACAAAGTATGAGATCAGCATATTTTGCTAGCTTAGCTTCTTTTTTTTTTAATAAACAAAAATTGCAGCTTAAATGATTTTACTAAAGGTACTAGAGAAGACATTTATTATGTTCAGATTACCACGATGGCTTTGTTAAGTTGGAATTCTACTAGAAAGAGAATTGCAGGGTTGAACTGTAGCTCCGTATTAAAGAGCATCTCGCTTTCATAATTTTGAAGTAATGAAAGATAAAATACGTTTGTATTGATTCAATATATATAGATATATAGATATATATGTTCTTGGCATAAATACTTTTGTAAGATGAGGTTTTGGTTGTGCTTCTTTCTTAAAATACAGCTAGTGAATCAAGTTATTTTCTTTATGAAGTAGCCTATTCAAAGTGTGTTCTTATAAGCTCTGAATATGATTGTCATTCATTATTTTCAAAAGCCAAATACTGCTAAATCAGATAAAATCATTATCAGGGTTTATATGTACGAAGCAAATAGAAAAAAAAAAGAAAACAGGTTTATTGTTCAAGGTTGCTTTTCTTCAGAGGCAGGGCAACTGTAGGCGTTACAAGCTTGGTCAAAGAAGCAAAAGAATTTGTCTTTCTTCTCTTGTAGATACAAGACATTTGTTCATTTATTAGCTCTTTAAGCCAACAGAAAGAGAGGACGGTGTCAGGAAAAGAGCCCAGATCCATTTTTCCGCGAGGGAGCGAAAACACATCAAGTTCCACAAAAGTGTAGATTCCATGTGGGGTCAACTCACACACAAAAGAAGAACACATTTCACCATCAACAAACAACGTAAAGCACTTAGGTGTACGGACACCAAGAGACACCTGATGATCAATAGATCGTTTGCACTCTAGAGCCAGCTTAGAGCGATCACTCAAAATTTGACTTGACTTGGTGCCAGGCTTCTTGACCTCCACGCAAAGCAACCCAAAAGAATTATCGTCGATAGGCAGAAAGACGAAAAAATCGAGTTTAGCTTTGCTGCTGCTGCTACTGCTGCCACTGCTGCTACTACTGCTGCTGCTGTCTGAATTGGGATGGCCATATGGTATTTTTCTATAGGACCGTGTGGATGAGACATTCTTGTCACGCAAGAGTATGTTTCTCAGAAACGGATACAATGCTTGGTCAATGAAATCTTCTTCAGTTCTACACTCAGTCCTCCAGTTTTCGAAATTGTCAAGCATTTCTTGAACAACTCGTACCAAGGCATCTTCTTCTTCCCTCTTCGATTTCTTTGCATACCGCGACATCTGGTACTGCAAGTACTGCACATCTTTTTCTTCTTCATCATCATTATCATCATCGTCATCATCTTCTACTTCTTCTTTTTATTCTTTTTCTTCTTGCTCCAGCTCCCATTGTGTCTTCAAGTCAATAAACATGACTAGAATTTCATGCTCGAATTGCTTCTTCTTTGTGGCAGGAGTGAGCGCTTTTCTTATTTTTTTGAAGTTTTTGGCTTCAAGGCAGAATCCTTCAACAGCAACTGGCACTTCCAAGATAAAGGAAAGCAGCAAGTATTGACTTTCTCTTAGCATCTTCTTGTTCCTCACCAGCTCAACAACACGTCTTCTTTCTTTGTTGAAAAACTTTTATCAAGTCTTCATCACCAACAGACCAGCGACCAAAGACACCTTCTTCTTTACCATAATCTTGGCATAAGACCATGTTTTTTTCTGTTGTTGGTTGTTGTTGCTGTCATAGCAATGCTTGCTTGCTGCTTGATATGCTTTTTCCAGGCTGCCTTAGCATCACCCTTCTTAGCTTCTATGCCTCTTGAATTGGCGTACTTGAAAAAGGCACTTGCAAGCTTGCTATATTCTTCATCTTGATCTTTGCCAATGTTAGCTTTTATGTGCTGACTGTGCCTTTCAATAAAATTAGCGAGTAATGGTATATCATCTTTTTCTTCGCACAGATCGAGAAAAATCTTGAAGATACATGAGTAAGTTGTCATATTATGGGGTTGAGATTCGAGAATTGAATATGGAAAAGAAAGATGATATCAATCAGATTCAAACATAGACAGGAGATACACTCATACACATAATTACAAATACTGGAGCTGGTCTCTGCTGCCAGTTGCTCGTAATATGATATACCGATTCCTGGTTTCCAAACTACCCACAAGACAATTTCTTCACTATATACTTCCTGAGAAGTTCCCCTCACCTCTTTGTACCATTTGCTCAATTCATCTGGAAAGTGAACAACACCTCCTGTTCTATTGCCCACCAAAGAGGTTTTTTTGGAACAATCTCATCTTCGAATTTCTTTGGCCTACAACCACTGTCGAAGATGTTATTCAAGCACTGGTTACACTAAACTTCACTAGAATAGATTACTCACAAAAAAAAAATTTAACCGTTGTTGACATTGTCATTACAGCCGTATCACAAGTTTGGAAAGCACACTGGAGATTTGTCATGGACAACGTAGTTTTTGATGCCTACTCCACTCTACAACAAGCATGTACTGCTTTACAACTGCTTGCAGATGAAAAGCAAGTACACACAAGACTGTAATTCTTCTCGTATTTTTTTTTCTCTACTAATAACAGTGGCATATCTTTTATTTTATTCTGCTTAGTTTGCTTTCAACATAATTGTATAATATAATTCAGTATGAATTGCGCCCGCCTCTTGAGTGCCATCAGGGTAACTTTACGCGGAACAATAATAAAAATCTTTAAAAAAAAAAAAAAAAAAAAAAAAAAAAAAAAAAAAAAAAAAAAAAAACTAAGGTATACAAAAGATGCCCACGACACTATTTTACTTTGATGACCACGTATGTTCATGAAAAAACCAAAATGTGAATAAAGGAGAGAAAACTCAAACCCTGTTATATATACACTCTCTCATGAAGAATTAGATTCGGGATTTTTTAATCTATTTTTGTGAAATCCATTACTCGATCAACACTTGACTTTACCTCTCGAGATCTTAGGGAGATAATAGTTATGATAGAAGAAGTCAGCAATGAATGTGACCACCTTAAGCTTAGTGGTGATAAGAAGATGGACGCTTAGTACATGAGCTAATAACTTTGGCTATCAAAAAGCAACACCAGTATTTTTCATCGTTTGATATTCATCGTTTGATATTCATCGTTTGATATTCATCGTTTGCATGAATCAGACGGGTTAGATTAGCCATTATTTGTTGAAGGTTTTCATAGAAAACACAGACTAGAACATAAGTAAATGATTATTTGAAGTACATAAATTAGGGCATGAAGCTCCTAGGCATTCATGCTTCATATTGAGCATTTGAGTATTGAAGGTTGAGAACCATAAGTCAGAATTGCTGAGACAAGGAGATGCTTTAAAATGAAATCTATTGAACTCATTTTGCTCTTTATGTTTGTCAATGGCTTTATAGTTAATCATCAAATGCGCTCAGTCTTGACTTTAATTACTTTGATCAGTAGAATAAATTAATTTATATATTTATATATATTTATATATATTTATATGTAGTTTTGAAGCTCTTTAGGATGAGCGATGGATATTAGAAAGAATAGGATGATTGATTTGACAAAGAACATCATAAATATCTAACAAACAATAAGCATCGCATGCTCCATACAGAATTTGTTCTTCAGAAAGAGGTCTTTTTTCCCAGTTACTCAGTTGTTGTCGCTTATTGAGAGAACACGCCAAGAATTCAGTCACAACACCTGCCAATCCACCCGTAACAACACTGCCTTGCTTAGATTTGATTGTCTTTAAGTCTAGCAAGTGGTTCATTTTCCAATGCTTAGAAGAAGGTATGGATAAATGCAACAAGTCTAAATCACCCGTAAAATCAAAGGCTGGATTCTATTGAGTAAAGACATTTTTTTTTTTGTTACATTACCTAGTTTGAGAATCTGTTCATCTTCAAACAAAAGCCTTAAAATGATCTCTGTCAATTGAAGTAGTCGCGTATGTTGAGGTTCAAGTATTGTTTTGAGATCCAATAAAAATACAAATCCATCAATATCTGTTGCAATCTGCATCAAGGCTGTCTTGACATCAGTCGTTTTAGCAAATGTAGGTACCCATTCGGTATCTAAACCACAAACAGTGGATGTCGATAACACATCTTTCATTTGTAACAAAGTTTGAATTGAATCCACAACCACACATTGAGCCTTGGCTGGTAACTGATAAAAAGGATAACACACTAGTTTCTTGGTCTTTTTAGGTGTCAGTGTACTTTGATGACGTGACATGATTTCACCCTTGACAATGCCTAGTAGTCGTTGATTCAGTGGTAATGCATTGTATCGACAATAAAACTCTTGTTGTTTATAAAGAGAAGCAAAATGAGCAGGTGCAATGGCATCGCCCATATCAATCAGTTCTTTAATCGCCAATCGAGCCATGACAGGATCATTTTCACAAACAAGATCAATCAGACCATTGAAATTGGAACTGGTAGCAATCGACGTATCATTATCTTCTATTTGCTGAATAGCTCTTTGTGCCAGAATGAACCGTAGACAAGAATACCGTTGAGACAAATGGATAAAATAGCCTTCTTGTTCAGATCCTTCCAAGCCTATCTCTTTCAATAGTTTAGCACCACATCCCACAAGATCCTTTTGGAATTTGCGCTCCTTGAGTCGAGAAAGTTGAGGTATGTTGTCTGTGGCTAGGTCTTCAAAGTGATGAGCAGGCACAATATCGAGATTACCAGCATAGGTAAATCGCAATTGTTTGTTGATATACGATACTAGTTGTCTCTGTAGATCAGGTTGACCTTGATACAGTGTGATCAGATAAGCACCATAACCTGCAGTAAAGAACTGTTCTGCAGTTCTCTCTACTGAGAAGCAGGCAAACAAATCGAGTTTACGGATACTCGTCACTGCTTCATCATAATAAGCATGCTTGATCAAAATACGACATAGTTTGACTCCTTCTGCTTCAAATTCACATCCTTTGGCAATCAATTCTGGCAGTCGATAGACATCCATAGCATAATAAACAATGACAGGACAAGAAATACTGTCCATCATATGAATCAACTTCAATTGGTTATCACGGCGAAGTGTATATCGCTCTATAAAGTCAGCAGGCATACCAAGTATATCTTCAATGGTAATCACAGCCACTTCTTCACTCTCTTCCTCTTCTTCTTCCTCTTCTTCACTGGAATTATGTAGCTCAATCAAAGGATGCTCATCAAACGATATCAAATCCATTTCTTTAGCAAGTGACGATGTTGCTTGATCTTCAAATGAAATTAAATCCACTTCTTTTATCTCTTGATAGAATTGAGCACATTGAGCGCGTTGTTTATCAATAGGTGTATCTAGAAACTTGGCAAGGGCTGTGCATAGATTGGTAGAAAGCAATCGACGAAATTTAGGCAAGAGTTCCTTGTTCCTTGAATGTTGAGTGAAATAGCTAGATAAAGAAGACAATGTATTCTATCGAGATCAGACACTGGACATCCCATGAGTTACTTACGAGAATAAAATCACTAGGATCTTGACAGTAATGTAAATGACGACAAAGGCGAACTTCAATCAATGAACCAGGTGTTTCAATCTCACGAATCTTGAGGTAAATATCAGCACTTTTATAGACATGGATAAGACGTAACATCAATAAATCAGAATCCATCTGTTGACACATGTGTTTAAGTTCGTCGTCTGAGATGTACTGAAGTGATACATGCGTTGTGGGTGGTGGTGGTGTAAGTGATACAGGCGGTGGTATGGGTGCAGGTGAAGCAACGGGTGTGATAGGTGCAGACACGACATGGATTGGTATAGGTTTAGGTAGATTGGCTCTTATGGTACGAATTGAAGCAGCGGATATGGTAGGTCGTTTTTTCTTTTCCTCTCGTTTCTTGTTTGTGACGGGAGATGAAGTGATTTCCCATTCATCATCATCAGAGTCCTCCATCTACAGAATGTACTTGTTTAAAAGACCAAAGGAAAAAAACTAATTGGCTGGATTTGTTTAATCCAGCCAATCAAACGCGTCATGTGGTTATGCACCTTACATAAATACATACATAGTGAGTCATGAAGCTTATCATCTTGTAGGTTTGTACCGAAAGGCAGAAACAATGTTCAAAGTATATTAGAAAAGGGATACGCCTTCTCTCCTGTTGTCTCTTTCAGTTTGATTTGGGTCATACGAGAATGTCGGTATGTGAATCAACTGAGTCGCGTGTCAATAGTGTCTTCGCATAAAGATTTTCTTTCTTTTGATCTACATATCTGATTCATATCCGATAAGACTAGAAAATACCGAGTTAGACTGTGTCAAATTCGAAGCCTTGGACACAAGCCCTCAAGACACAACAGACACACAATTACTTCAGACAGAAGACGCGCTTCAAGAAACACCATATATCAAACAAGAACCAGACGAAAAAAAAGATGCCAATCCCTCGAGAACAAACTGGTAAATCGCAACAACAACAACAAAAACAACAACAACAACAACAACAACAGTAACAGTAACAACAACAGTAACAGTAACAACAACAGTAACAGCAACAACAACAGTAACAGCAATAATAATACTCTTAAAGCCATAGCTATTTTCTAGACATCCTTCCAGATATCCATGCCATAAACTATTGTCGAGTATGTGACAAGTTGTTCAAACAAAGACAACTACTGTTGTGCTTGTGATCACATCTTTGTCAACAGAACCAGATGTTATCTTCACTTGAGAGCAATTCACTTGATAAAAACACCCAAATCAATCAAAGAAACCATCATCAAACAGCCTAAATTGACATCTGATCCAAATGGCCTGAATCATTACTGCTGTGTTTGTGAAAGAACGTATCGTTCAGGCGTGTTTCTACAAGGACATATCAATAGCTGCCATGAACTCAGATTGGGCAATATAAAGCAAACCATGATCAAACACCCTGATCTTCAACCTGATAAAAGTGATCCCACCTCGTATTGTAGAGCATGCGATATTAAGTTCTGTGATTGGGAAACGTATAAAGAGTATCTCAGACTTATTCATGATATGTATCTCTTAAAGAGACCGTGTATCAAATACCCTGACAAGACGCCTGACTCTGAAGACCCCAATTTCTACTGTTGTGCCTGCGATATCAAATACATGATGCAATGTAGCTTCAGGTGACATTTTAAAGAGAAGCATGGCTTCAAGTTTAAAAGAGAAACCATTAAATACCCTGACAAGACATCAGATCCTACTTTTTATTCTTGTGCCTGTGATAGAACGTATGCTTAAAAATGCTTTTACAGGCTACATCTTTAAAATGTACATGACATCAGAACACAGCCTCTTCGAGTCAAATATCCCGACAAGACACTTGATCCTGAAGACCCAAATTTCTACTGTTGTGCCTGCGACAAAACCTATTTAAGCAAGATTAGGTAGTATAAGCATATCAGGTATTTGCATGGCATCAAACTATTGCCGAGAAAAAGAAACATAATGACAAGAGTACTTGATTTTTTTTTTCTTGGCCTTATGCTAAATAAGAAAAAGGGAGTTTAAATAATCAGCCAAGTGTTCTTTTTTTCTTTTTTTCTTTTTTTTTGTATTATCCATTATGAAATCGGTTACTCTATCTTCAGCAGAAGACAAGAGCACTGTCAGAAAAGCATTATTTACTTCAGTAAGTGAATTGTATATACATATGTATATATATATGTGTGTGTGTGTGTGTGTTTATCTCATTGACAACTGCATAGAAAATATTCACAGCTGGTGTTGCTCGTTTGCATGTGGCCAGTCCAGACCCTTCTCAATGGACTTATGCTCAACTATGGGGTGCTGCTGTATTCTGCATAGACAAGTCAAAAAACAACTCTTTCTTTATTCGTTTGGTGGATTTGGAGGTAAGTGGACAAGAAAACAAATGAAGTTTTTTTTTATTCACATCTAGATAGCATGGAACTGGAGTTATTTGGGAACAAGAACTATATGAAGGATTTCACTATAACAAAGACGCGCCTTTTTTCATTCATTTGAAACAGATGTGGGTATTACTCTGGATGCGCTCTTTTTTAATCATGTCATGTAGGATTGCCTTACAGCATTAGAGTTTGTGGATGAAGGAGAAGCTGATGTGTTTTACAAGAAAATACAAGGACGCGAGTCCCTCAAGAACACATCTGTATTTGGACAGAAACAAACAACTCAACCTAAGCGTAAAAACAAAATTGACAAAAACCATATTGGTATGCCTGCTGATTTTAGGCATGTGGGACATATTGGATACACACCAGGCAAAGGATTTAGTGTGGAGAACAATGATCCTGAATGGCATGGTTTGTTTGATCAGTTAAAGGAATTGGGTATCTCTGCAGAAGAAATCAATAACAACCAGGATTTTATTCGAGAATTCTTACAAGAGAGTGCACCTCCACCAGCACATGCTACTGCTCCTCCTCCTCCTCCTATGATAAATAATGCACCTCAAAAGAAAAGAGCACCACCACCTCCCCCTCCTCCAAGTAGACATCACACGCATACCGCTGCTGCCCCCCCTCCTCCTCCTCCACCTAGAAAGACAAACAGTATGGCTCCTCCTCCCCCTCCACCACCATCAAGATACAGTCCGCCTACAGGGCCACCAGTGCCTAATCGTCAAGGTAGATCAGTACCTCCTCCTCCTTCAATAGGAAATGCTCCTCCGGGTCCTCCTCCTCCTCCTCTTCCTCCTATGTCTGGTAGTGGTGGTGCTCCACCACCACCACCACCTCCTCCTCCTCCTCCCATGTCTGGCGCTCCTCCTCCTCCTCCTCCTCCTCCTCCCGTGATGATGAACAATGGTCCTCCTCAAGCACCTATGCCCCCTCCACCACCACTACCTCCTATGGGCATGCCCCCTTCATCTTCAGCACCATTACCACCGCCAGCAGCAGCAGCAATACCATCTTCAAATGACGGTCGATCCAATTTGATGGCTTCCATTCGAGCAGCCGGTGGTTTTGGTACATTGAAACAATCAGGTAAACTCAAAAAAGCAGATACTTCAGATCGATCCGTAGCCCAAGCGACTCCAGGTGCTGCTGCCGCGGGTGCTGCTGCAGGTGCTGCCAGTGGTACATTAGCATCTAGTTTAGCGGATGTACTTAAACAGCGTCAACAAGCCATGCAAAGTGATGATGAAGACGATGATGATGATGAATGGGAATAACGCGTCACATAATAAACATGCATTTTTCTCTTTTTTTATCTTCTTTTTTTTATCTTTTCACCATGTGGGAACCGAATGAACAATTACTTTTACGTGCTGCTGTTCGCTATAAAAAGCATGAAGGTACTTTATATGTCACACCACGTCGCGTTGCTTGGCAGCAACAAGGTTCTTCACAATTGATGCCATCCATCTATTACAATGACATTGCAAGTCTTGCGCAGACACCAGAGACATCCGCCAAGGTCTTGCTCAAGATATCTGCTAAACCACCTGCATCCAAAGACTATACATTTCAATTCACATCAGCGAAAAACCTGCAGGAAAGAGAGGCTATTAAGGCACAAGTAGCAGAGTTATTGGCGCGCATACGTGGTCTTCAATCCGTAGGCACACCAGCCCCATTTACACCTACATCCACGCTTGCTTCACCTGCACCGTCTACACCACAGTCAGCCATAGCTTCACCTGCCCCTGTGCTTCCGCCTTCTCAACCACCTGCTAAACATGCTATCCAAACTCAATCTTCACCGAGTACACCCACAAGTCATGGAGGAGGAGGAGGAGGAGGAGCAGCCAGTCCCAAGTCATGGCGACAAGAAGAATTCAACGATCGAAGACAGTTATTGACTTCCAGTCGAGAACTACAGACACTACACAAAGAGCTTGTGGTGGTGGGCAAGAGTGTGGATGAAGAAGAGTTTTGGTCGAGTCCTTATGTGAAGCGTATTCGACAGGTAAGACACAAAAAAAAAAGCGTAGGATGACATTCGATTGATCAAACCAAAGTAGAAATTGAAAAAAGACGCTATTTCAAGAGAAGGAAAACAAAAGGGTAAATCCTCCAGAATGGTTGAATTGAAGCCTGGTCAACAAGAAGGCTCTGATGTCAAATATACCTTAACCAGCCAAATCATTCACAACATTTTCACTGAATTTCCTTCTGGTAACCTACTTTTGTTGTGTTCTCCTGACTCATTCTCCCTTTTAATATAACTAGTCAAAAGAGCGTATGATGCCAATGTGCCTGATAAAATGACAGAGCAAGCATTTTGGAAACGATTCTTGGCTTCTGAATTCTTTCATCGGTCAAGAACAGGCGCCCGATCTCATTTAGCTACGTATGATGATATCTTTGATCGTTGTTTACAAGAAGAGGATGATGGTAAACAACAATAACTAAGTTTTGATGATGGAGCTAACCGTCTCTAGAAAACTCAAAACCACCTCCTATGACACGTATGGACAAGATTCGATTTGATATCGATTTATCGCGTACAGAAGAAGACCATATAGAAAGTGGTAATGCGCCTGATTTTACCATGAAGCCTGGTAGAGAAGCACAATCCTTGCCTTTGATTCGTCGATTCAATCGACATTCTTCGCGTGTGTTGGAGACACCACCTTCGTAAGCTATTAATGAAGAACAAAAGAGTTTTTTTTTTTTTTATTTATCATCAAGGGAGAATAGGAAAATACAACGGGATAATACTCAAATTGAACAGCAAGTGGTTATTAAAGACCTGTTGGATGAACCACCACCAGAAAAGATCGTATTGGACATTCAGGACACAAGGCGTTATTTTGAAAGTCAAGCAGGTGAATTAGATGAAATGAAGCTGAATGAACAAGACACAAAGCAGTTATTGACAGGCATGAAACGGAAATTTGAAGGATGGCAGCCTGATATGGCAAGACAAGTCATCAAGCCTCGTTCAGCAGACAAAGTGTGTATGGAACTGACGCATGTCATCAAGAGAAAAGTACGCCATGATGAAAAGTCTGTCCAAGGTAAAAACAAAAAAAAAGGGGGGAAGGATTATGATTGACAGAGAATAGATGTCAAATTAGCACCTCAATTACAACAAAAGATACAGAGTTTTCACTCAGCTACCAACGAAATACTACGTCATTTTTGGTCTTCTTTTGAACCTTACAAAGCAGAAAAGAACTCTAGGATGATTGAAGGACTGAAAAAGCAACAAGAGAAACTAAAAGAACTCTTGACCCTTGTGTCAAATCATGAAGGAGATGCTGAAAGATGTAGAAGGGTAAGCAAGAACAAAGTAACAATAATAATAACAATAGATTGACATGGAATAGACGTTAATGCCAGTCCTTCAAGCAATGGATAGAGCATTTGAACAATCAAAGAAACGCGGTAAAAAATAAGCCTTTTTGTAAATAAACAAAAATCCCTATGCTGAATTTAAACAGATCTTTTTTATTGTTATTATTCAATGAGTTTTGCACACAAGACAGTACTTGTTACTGGTGCCACGCGTGGTATTGGACTTCATATTGCACAGACATTTGCTACACATGGTGCCAAAACTATCTTGATTGGGCGCGATGCAGATCGTGTTGAGAAAATACAACAGACATTTCGAGAACAATATGGTGATCAAGATCATAAAGGCATCACACTTGATATATCACATAAAGCACAAGTAGACAGTGTATTCAAGGTATGTTCTTGTTTAAGTATGATACACACACACACATATATATATATATATAGGCTCATGGCATGAATGTAGGATGAACTCAAGGGTCAACAGATTGATTATTTAGTGAATGCAGCAGGTATATCAAGAGATGGACTTTTTGTTCAGCTTAAGGAACAAGATTTGCTTGATACTATCAATACAAATCTATTGGGCACTATGCATGTCAGCCAACATGTGGCCAAGACTATGATGAGAAAGCGAAAAGGAGGTTGCATCATCAATGTGGCAAGTGTTGTTGGTCTCCATGGCAATGTGGGTCAATCAAGCTACAGTGCTTCTAAAGCAGGTCTGATTGGATTTACAAAATCACTAGCTAAAGAACTAGGACCTTACAATATTCGAGTGAATGCGATTGCACCAGGATTCATTGATACAGACATGACAAGGAATATATCAGACGATAGAAAACAAAAGATACTTGAATCCATATCACTCAAACGATTTGGTGATGTACAAGACGTATCTTTGGCTGTTTTGTTTATTGCCCAATCCAACTACTTTCATGGTCAAGTATTGACACTGGATGGTGGTTTAATCATTTAAGAATAGACTCGGCTTAATTATTTATCCTTTCTTATTGTTTAAATTCGCTCTTTTTTTTTTTTCTTTCTTTCTCTTTCTTTCTTTGTGATCGGTTACACATCCGGCATTCAATTGTTAAAGTGGCTCAAAATCATTCGAGTGATCATAATCCCTTTAGGGACCCTACAAATCAACCTGCTTGGGATGAAGAAGCAGCTTCACCTTATAATCCATTTACTGACCCTCATTATTCTCCGTCTATACCACAGAGCGACCTTATTGACCTTCAACAAGAGTCGTCTACTTCGCGTCACTTGACACCTCCAACTGACCCTTCCACTGCCCATGTTGCTCATAGTCGCAAAAATAAACAAAAAGGCAAGTATCTAAACACACCAACAAGTCCATCTTAACCATCACTAGATAACCTGTTTGATGACCCAAAAATAGAGGAGGAAGAAGGTCATCATGAGCGCAGTGTGATATTGCCTACAGGCGAATCCACATCCCCTTATGCCCGTGCCAATATGCAATTACCAAAGAAAAAGAAAGAAAGAAGGTCTTGGCGTCAGATCATTAAGGATGCCTATAGTAACATGACAGGAAATACAGCCATTGCATCAGGTATTCCCGGTGAAAACGGGGCCCGCATAATTCATATCAACAATAAGCAATTGAATGACGAACAAAAGTTTTTACATAACGGAGTGACAACTGGAAAATACAGCCTGGTTAGTTTTTTGCCAAGATTCTTGTATGAAGAATTTTCAAAATATGCCAATCTTTTCTTTTTGTTCGTGTCATGTATTCAGGTAAATGATGCATTCAATTTGATGATGTGAGCTCATATTTGTGTGTATGTAGCAAATTCCTGATGTTTCGCCTACGTCAAGATGGACTACTTTAGTGCCTTTGGTTATTGTATTGTTCATTACTGCTGTAAAAGAAGTGGCGGAGGACTGGGTAAGCTACATAACACCACACACACACACACACACACACACACACACACACATGACCCAGTTTTAACCAATAAGGATGTAGGGTGTACATCGTTCAGACGCAGAATTAAACTCTAAAAAATGCAAAGTATTAGAAAGAACACAATTTGTAGAAAAACAATGGAAGGACATCAAAGTGGGTGATGTGTTGCGTATCGAGAGTGGAGAGAACTTCCCAGCAGATCTTATTTTGATTAGTAGTAGTGAACCAGAAGGTCTTTGTTACATTGAAACCAGTAATTTAGATGGTGAAGTCAACTTGAAGATCAAACAGGCATTACCACAGACAGCAAATATCCTGAATCCTATTGACATGCACCAGTTACAAGGTGTCATTCAGTCAGAACAACCGAACAATCGACTTTATAACTATGATGGTACACTCTCCCTTCCCAACCTAGGTAGTCATCAACGCGATATTCCTCTTGACCCTACTCAATTGCTGCTTCGAGGTGCTCAATTAAGAAACACATCTTGGGTATATGGTATTGCTATCTTTACTGGTCATGAAACAAAGCTCATGTTGAATTCAAGTAAAAAACCCTCCAAAGTATCCAACGTCACTCGTATCACCAATCGCAACATCATGTATCTTTTTTGGATTTTAGTGGCTATGAGTTTAGCAGGTGCTATTGGCGGTGTTGTATTCTCGATGTATAAAGGAGGACAAGCTTCTTATTTGCCAATCCATACACTGAGTTATGGACAGGAATTTGGTTATGATATTTTGACTTTTTTGATTTTGTTTAATTCGTTTATTCCTATCAGTTTAATGGTTACCATGGAAGTGGTCAAGTTTGTCTTATCTTATCTGATCGAATGCGATCTAGATATCTACTATGAAAAGACAGATACACCCGCTACAGCACGCAGTAGTAGTCTGATTGAAGAACTAGGTCAAGTCAAATTCATCTTTTCTGACAAGACAGGCACATTGACATGCAATGAAATGCAATTCCGACAAGCCTCAATTGGTGGATTATTTTATGCAGACCAAGTAGAACCAGACAAGAAAGCCACAGAAGACTCCAGTGATCCTACGCTGCAATACACATTTGATCAGCTACAAGAACACTTGAACACACACTCGACAGCGAACGTGATTAACGAATTCCTAACACTGTTAGCTGTCTGTCATACTGTCATTCCTGAAAAACAAGAAGATGCAGAAGACATTGTCTATCAAGCTTCTTCGCCTGATGAAGGTGCACTTGTCAAAGGTGCCTCTGGCCTAGGCTATCGTTTTCATACCAGACGACCCAACTCAATCACCTGTCGTATTCGTGGTAAAGACCAAGAATTTCAAGTGCTCAATATCTGTGAATTCAATTCAACACGTAAACGTATGTCTGCTGTCATTCGTGGTCCTGATAACCGCATCAAGCTATACTGTAAAGGCGCCGATACGGTTATTCTGGAACGACTGGCAGCCGAAAACCCTTTTGTTGAACCTACGCTTGTTCAATTAGAAGAGTGTGCGTCTGAAGGTCTTCGTACCTTGTGTATTGCTATGCGTGAAATTCCTGAAGAAGAATACCAACACTGGTCTCAAATACAAGAAGCAGCAGCAACGACCTTGATCAACCGTGCTGAAGAACTCGATAAAGCTGCAGAATTGATTGAAAAGGACTTGTTTTTATTGGGTGCTACAGCCATTGAGGACCGTCTTCAGGATGGTGTGCCTGATACCATTCATACTTTGCAAGAAGCGGGTATTAAAGTATGGGTCTTGACAGGTGATCGACAAGAAACGGCTATCAACATTGGTTATTCATGCAGATTGTTAAATGAAGATATGAGTTTGATTGTGTGTAATGAAGACAACCACTGGGAAACAAAGAGCTTTTTAGAAAAGAAATTGAGAGATATTAACGATGTTATGATGCGTGGTGAAGAACTAGAGGTAAGTCACGTGTAGCCATATACAAAACTCATTCTTTTATGTCTTTAGCCTTTAGCATTGATTATTGATGGTAAAGCATTGACATTTGCACTTGAAAAAGACATTGAAAAGGTCTTTTTCGACCTTGCTGTTCTTTGTAAAGCTGTCGTATGTTGTCGTGTATCCCCTCTTCAGAAGGCTCTTGTGGTTAAATGCGTTAAAAAATTTGACACTTCCATTTTACTTGCCATTGGTGATGGTGCCAATGATGTCTCTATGATCCAAGCTGCTCATGTTGGTGTAGGTATCAGTGGTGTAGAAGGCCTTCAAGCCGCCCGTAGTGCAGACTTTGCCATTTCTCAATTTAGATTCTTAAAGAAACTGCTGCTTGTGCATGGTGCTTGGGCCTACCAACGTCTTAGCAAGATGATCTTTTACTACTTTTACAAGAATGTTGCTCTTTACTTGACACAATTTTGGGTAAGTAAGGATCAGATGCCTATAGAAATTAATTAACGTGGCGTAGTATGCTTTTTACAATGGATTTTCTGGCTCCACCTTGTATGAATCATGGACCATGTCTTGTTTCAATGTCATCTTTACCTTTTTACCTCCTCTTGTCATTGGTATCTTTGACCAGATTGTATCTTCACGTATGCTTGACAAATACCCTCAAATGTACACACTTGGCCAAAACAATGTCTTTTTTAATCAAAAGAAGTTCTGGGGTTGGATGGCAAACGCAACCTATCATTCATTGGTAAGCGGTTAATGTAATTTTTTTTCCGAAACACCACTAATCATGTTACACAACTAGGTACTGTTCTTCATTGGTGTAGGTGCTTTTAGAACAGAAGGTGTGTTTAAGAATGGTATATTGAGTGGTCAATGGTGGGCAGGTGCTGCTGTCTTTACTGGTGTCTTGGGAACGATTCTTTGGAAAGGTGCCTTGATTATAGAGTAAGTAAACCATACACCGAGCGCCCCCGCAATCAGTCAATTCTGATTGGTTAACTTCAATGATATAGTTTCTGGACAAAGTATACTGTGATTGCTATGGTTGCATCTATGGCAGTTTGGTTCCTGTATGTCATCATCGTGTCCTATGTCGCACCCGCTATCTCGATTGATGCTTTACCTGAATACTATGGCATGGTACCCATGCTATGGGGTAATGTTAACTTTTGGTTATTTTTGTTGATTGTACCTTTTATTTGCAACCTGAGAGACTTTGTTTGGAAATAGTAAGTGATCATCTGTAGGACAGTGTGGCTCATGATTATAGTGCTCAACGAGTTATTTGGCCAATGCCATATCATTTTGTACAAGAAATTCAATTTTACAATTTACCAGACTATAGACCACGTATGGATCGCTTTAGACAGGCTGTCAATAAAGTACGCCGTATCCAGCGACTGAAGCGTAACCGTGGTTATGCTTTTTCTCAAAACGAAACAGATCAAACCAAGATTATTCGTGCTTACGACACAACAGTCCAGAAGCCATCTGGACAGTAATATTTATTTGTACATACATTTTAAACACGTCTTATTGTAATAAAGTAATCTTTCTATGTCATTGGTTTTGTTTGTGAAAATATCGTATCATAAAATCACCTTATTTCCAAATGGAGACTACAAACAAATGGTCAATCCTGTTGCGGAATCTTACGGCAATTACAAATCCCGCAAAAAAATAGGATTTAATATAAATTGAGGAGAACCTTCCCCTCGTTTTTTTTTTTTCTTACTTATCTCTCATCTCTTACATTAAACAAACTTACAAAAAAAAATGCAACACATTGATTCTTCTAAACTCTACTCTGACGGTCAATACCGTTTTGAATTCGTCTCCAAATTCATGGATTTTGGTAAGTGTATTGTGTTATGTGTGGGGTATTGAAATTAATCATGCGTGATTAATTTAGGTGCTGAGGATATCAAGGCTATTGAAGCTGTAGCTGACAAGGTTCGCCCTTTGGTCCCTGTCGTTGTTGATGCTGTCTATGCCAAACTTTTTGAATTTGACGTTACCAAGAAACACTTTGTGCCCAAGAATGAAGGTTTTGAAGGTGAAGCCCCTGTCTCTCTTGAAGAACTTACCTTGGATCATCCCCAGATCAAGTTCCGTAAAGACTTTCTCGGCAAGTACCTTTACAAGATTCTCTCGGGTCCTTATGACGATCGCTTCCTTCGCTACCTTGATTGGGTCGCCAAGATCCACACAGATACACCTGCTAAGAAATCCAAGATCAATGTCGACTATATTCATATCAACGCTTTGATGGGTTTTGTTGAATCTACTTTGGCTGGTGGCTTAATGTCGCTCAATTTGGACCGCGAGACTGAACTCAAAGCTCTTTTGGCTTTCAACAAGTTGCTTTGGATCCAAAACGATTATTTTGCAAAGTACTACTGTAATCCTGAAACGATCCATGATGCCAAGATTGTCCCTAAGCAAGAGTTCTCTCTTTCCAGTTTGGCTTCACCTGCTAGTATTCTTCCTCTCGCTATTGGTGCTGTTGCTGGTGCTTTAGGTGTTTATTATCATTTTAGACGTATCTAAAGTTGTCGTTCTTATACTATGCTTTTGTAAATATAAATATATTTTTTAATACCTAGATTTCAGTATGAGCACAATCCTTTTATAAATAAGAGAAGTCATAATGCTAGTGAAACAATAACCCAACATAAATAGAGACATTGCTTAACTCTTGAATATCTATCAACAGGGGCCTTTTTTTAAAAAAGAAAAAATGCGTGGATTCAATTGCTTACTGATATGTTGCTTACTATTTGTCATGTCCAAAGCTATTCTATTTAACCTTAAAAGTGGCATACATTATAATACACCTTGCTTGTGCATGTTATATGTATTAGATACCTACTTATTAATCAATATCTATTGAAAAAGACCCCTTTTGTACTGACTACAGTGTACAAAGAACTTTGGATGTTTAAATCAAGTCGCCTTTTTTCGTCGTATTAAATTTGTTTTCTTTTCATTAGAAGTACATAAAAATGGTCTTACCTGATTCCGGTTGGATCAGACCTACATTGGGTCATTCCAAAAATTCTTAATCGAGTTTTGTTTTTTTTTCATCACGGACCTCCGTGGATCCCCTTGGATAAAAAAAAATTCACCTGACAGCCAAACCAATGGTACCATTCGATTCCTTGGTTTGAAAGGACATGTTTCAAATGAAAAAACGGACTGCTTTGGTAGTCTGGTTGTCGAATAATGAGGTATTAAAGATTGTCATGTTTAGGCTGTGTTTTGGGTGTTTTTGCTCTGGATGTTATATAAAATGTGTTAGCAATGGATCTATCTAAAGCATCTTACGCTATTTTGAGTGCTAAAAATCATGGTGAGATAGAAAAATAGGCATTTTTAGTGTAAATGTGGGGATAATTGGACATAGAACATACCAGATGGTAGTGAGTGAAGAATGAAATATAACAACATCAGTTCTTCATCTTGCTGCATCAAAAATCGAGCTTTTGCTTAGAACTATATAAAGTCGCGCTTATTCAGCTTTGGTGCAGTGACAAAAGCTGTAGATGATTGATTTGTGAGTCTGCTGATATTAAGAATACAACAAATTTGCTGCTAAAGTATTGAGAAAAGAGGTTAAGATGTTTACGAGGTTTTTCGCTCCTATCGTACCATTTTTATAGTATAACAATTAAACAAACACATTTGCCAGAAGATGCATTCTTTGACGCACATTTTGAGCATTTAGGCTTGTCAATAGCTCTACTTCTCGTCTTGTAGTGTCAAAAACAAGATCGAAGGTTGTCAAACCAACGACTTTCATGAGTAATACCCTTTGGTCAAAATGACCATTTGACCATTTTTTACAAGTCGCTTTTTTTGGCGCAAATCAACTCCAAAGGCATCATGGATGTTAGCAAACATAGTTTGTAGGTACCTCAAGCACTTATGCGTGCATAGATAGGCTTTGAAGCACCTTTATATGTCCAAGAAAAAGACAAAAATTTGTATTGATTGTTGAAGCATGTATCTGCCTGATATCTCTATCGCATGAATAAACGGGTCATATCATACCGGACTGGTTATTTACATACAAACATCTTATTAGAAATACATTTGACTTCTCATAAATCAAAGAAAGAGATAAAGGTGTCAAAGTGTTGAAAAACGTACTTTAACTTCATGATGCATGATATATAAAAATAACCTTTAGAATATACACTGATACAAACTATGAAACTTGTATGAGTTTGAATATCCAAGTTTGAAGAGCAACAGATGCAACATTCAAAAGAAAACAAATCTCGTAATTACTGAACACAAACAACTAAAATTTTGCACCACATGTCAATGAAAAATAAGATCTGCATATTAAAAGAAAATTAGTACTATAGTGTCGCTCAATAAGTAAAACATTGTTTTTTTTTTTGCCTTTGTCGAAAGAGAACAATAAATGGTTTGTCTTGCTGTCAGAATAGGAAAAATATTAAATCAGGGTGATTCGCCCTTAAATTAAGGATGCTAAACAATTGCGCTTGTTTGAATATGTGCATTGGTTTTAATTGACTATTAGCCCTCGCCTGCTTGTTTATCAAGTTGTACGATACTCGAGCACTTATAAAAGACATAAATATTTGCAGCACTTATATATACATATCCGACAAATGCACATCAATGACTATTGATTTGGCTTGAAAAAGCATCAAGGCCTTGTTAACAAATCTCTATATCTATAAAAATGCAAGGACAGGGGTGAATATTACATTATTCGAGTGCAGAAGCCATCGTTTCTTGATACCATCTCTGAAAGAGGTTTTATTATTTTCTTTTTTAGAAAAAAAGATTACATAGGTAAACCCTGCACTTGACGTCGAATTAAACCATGCATTGTTTTTCATTGTATGTGTTACACAATAATTCTGTCAGGACCACCGTAAAAAAATTGCCCTGAAAAAAGTCCAACCGACCCTACATTTTTCCTTTTCCTTCCTTTTTTTGTTTTTCTACATATCAGGAAATGTCCAGCTTTAGTGCTGAAAGACCTTTTGGTGTCTATTTGTTTGACTATTTCAACAAGGCATATACAGCCATTGTGGGTAAACCAATAACTGAATTTGCATTCATTCAAGGCTATACCCCTCTCTCTACCTTACCAGAAGGTAATTTAAATGAAAGAAGAGAGCGAAAAAAATAACGCGTGAATGATATAGTGTTGTTGGGATGTGTCACTTACTTGGTTGTGATCTTTGGTGGTCGTTATTTGATGACCAACTATAAACCATTGCCTTGCAAGTTATTGTTCCAAATTCATAACGTTTTGTTGACTCTTGTATCCGGCGCTTTATGGGTATTGCTCTTTGAGCAATTGTTTCCCCAGTTATACAATCATGGTCTTTATTACACCCTTTGCTCAGAAGAAGCTTGGACTCCTCGATTGGAATTGATTTATTATTTAAATTATTTGGTAAAGTGGTGGGAGTTGTTTGATACGGGTTTCTTGGTTATAAAGAAGAAGAAGCTTGGTAAGTAAATTTGCTCGCTTCACATATGTATCTGATTGAATGATAGAATTCTTGCACTACTTTCATCATAGTATGACAATGGCATTATGTTATACTCAATTAGTTGGTAGAACTACTGTGGTAAGTGTTTATGAATGAGATTGAAATCGGTTATTCATAATACAACCAGTCTTGGGTTCCTATTATCCTTAACTTGACTGTCCATGTCTTTATGTATTATTACTACTTCCGCACGTCTACTGGCGCCAAGATCTGGTGGAAGCGTTATCTTACCACGATGCAAATTATTCAATTCATTATTGATTTAGTGGTGATTTACTCTGTTACTTATTCTTATTTTGCCTTTACATACACCACATCCTTGCCCAACTTTGGTACATGCGCTGGCACTGAAAGCGCTGCTGCCTTTGGTTGTGCTATTCTTACTTCTTATTTATTCTTATTTATTAACTTTTATAGAATCACTTACAACAACAAAAAGCAAATTGCTGCCAGCAAAAAGAAGCAATAAAAACAATTTATTGAAGATACAGACCTTGTTGTTCTACAAACTCAACAATGCTTTTGTCAAGTATGGACTCGACTTTTTTATCCTGATTTACAATTGCTTGTCTTGCCATAGTGCTTGAGTATTGACAAGTGATGAGATCTAATTGAATTCGTGTAAAGATATGAGTACCATACTCTTGTTCGACTTGTTTCCAAAAAGCATCTTGTTCTTCTCTATTCTCTCCTCGATCTGCGCAAATCAAACGGCACGTCTTGAAAAAGGACTCCAAAGCAGTCTTGACAGGAACATCATGATAATACTTGGGATCCAATAACCGAACAACTGTATCGTAGCCCAGGATAAAGAATATATCAAGAACATGATGTGGGTAGTGTCTGGAAAACCATGATTGTATACTAGCCGCTTTATCGACGAATTTGCCATGTGTTGTAAAGCCAACAGCAACGTTATATTCCTTGAATTTTGAAGCGACAAGTTCCATCATCTGTGCACGTTGCAATGCACTGGCACCTGTTAATACTTTGTCTACATTATTGATTGAAAACAATAATAGAATGCCATGAAAGTAATTGGAAGGATAAGCTTCAAGTGATTTTTTTAGTAGGCTAATATGTGCATTAGTAGGTGGGTTAAAGGATGAGTCAAGTATCAATAGGCGACAACGATCGCCTACTTCTTGTTGATTCCGGAAAGGCCAACAAATAGTTGGAGTAAAGGTAGTAAAAAAATCTTGTTGCGCGTTATTCTTAATAGTTTTTGATATGTCTTGCTCACGCAAAATAACGTTTAGAACTGCTCTATTCATTTTTTTGAAAGAAAAGAAAAAGAGACACTTGTACTACAATTATAAAAATGGTTTATTAATATGTATTCTCTCTATTTATCGCATGTCGCGCAAGTGAACGTTATCAGTAGCATTTAATTGAACTTGTGAATGGGCATCACTGCTGCTTACACTGCCACGGCTTTGCCTTTCATTGAACATATGAGAGAATCCGTTTTGGTCTTCCTTTTGGTAATGAGGGCTTAGCTTTTCACTAGAAGGAAAGAAAGGATTGGAATTGGCGGTGCCTATAGTAGGGGTAGCGATTCCGAATTGTTGGTGAGGCGTATTGGTATTGTTTTTGTTGACAGAAGCAGCATTATCAAGGGAACGGAAGACTTCGTCGTCGACATAGTAAGCCTTGAACAACAATTCCAAGACTTGCATACGTTCTTCAACACGAGACACACGTTGAGCTTCTGTTTCTTGACCCAAGTTTTGGAACTCGTTAACACTGAAACGATGATGAACAGGATGGACCAAAGGAATACCGCTGTCCGACGTCTTGAACTTTTCTTGAAGGCCTCTAAGCAAGGATTGCTTACGACCACCAGTAGACCATCTGTGAACAACACCCCAAGGAGAACGAGGACGGAAACCAAAGAGCCAGGTTTGAACAGCAACCAATAAACCAAAGATACCACCGACAAAACCAAGAGCATTTACAAGTGTGTACATCTTGACTTCACGATCAATCAATTGAGCAAATTCATTGGGGAAGACAGCAATAAGACCAAGATCAGCATGACCACTAGTGTAAGTGGGGTTAGGAGCTTCTTCACGGAAAGTAGATTCAATTTGAGGAGTACTGTTTGTGATGGGCAAGAAGCCAACATAGTTCCAGCCAACAGGCTGCAAGTAACGATGGTCAACAATATCGTAGCTGAGAGCACTGTAAGTGAAAGGCTCGATGGTGTAGACGTTGGTAGCTTGGAGATCGTTACGTTCGGTATTTTGCCAGTTAAGGACATCAGCTTCAGACAAGTAGACATTGATACCATCTTCATAGCCATATATTTTGGCATTAGGATCCATATTCTTGGGGAAAACAGAGACATGAACACGGCCATAGGTAGTTGATTGGTCACCAAACATAGTAAACAGTAATCGAGAGCCATTATTGGCACCAGAAGTAGAAGTCAATTTGAAGTCATCAGGAGCACGGAAAAGGAAGCAGTTAACAGCACCCAAATTGTCAGAGAAAGTGGGTTGGAAAACAGACATGTCGAGTTGCTTAACAAAGGAAGTACAAGTGTAACCATTGTCAGTTTGACAAGAGACACCAGGAGGACCATATATAGCACTTTCACTTGGGAAACCATCAAAACAGAAACGAACATCGGGTACATCTACTTCAGCAGAAGAGTATTCAATTCTTTGAACAACATTAGGACTCTCAACGGCTTGACGGATAACAAAGTAAAGGAACATAACAAAGATGAACAAGAAAAAGACTTGAGAAACAATACGAGAGGTTTCAGCCCAGACAGGTTCACCAGTACGTGGCTTCCAGATATCATTGTGAACACGGACAACCAACCAACGAACATAGGATTGGAACTTCCAGAGCAAGAACAAGATGATGATAAGTAAAACAACACCAGCAACAGTAACACCAGCAATAAGTCCCTTGGAGACAGAGCTATCGCTAGAACTAGAGCTTTCTTGGAAGGATTGCAACCATGAGCTACCTTTAAGATCAAAAGTATTGATATCGTTATAATAACTGTTAGATGAACCACCTATACATTAAGGAGAGCAAGCAGATGAAAAAAGGGGATGTTAATGAAACTCAACATGAATGTTTATAAATAAAACTTACCGAATGCGACAGTAAGATGGTTATTATCCAAAAGACCAGCAACTGCGAATGAACGACGAGAAGGAGGAATACCTCCAATGCTGGGAATGGACCAGGACCAGGTCTTTGTGTCCAAAATGGCAACTGTGTTCAAGTATTGTCTTGCTCTTTGATTAGCAGCACTGTCACCTATACAATCAAAATAAATAATTTGTACGCGTATTTGTTTTTTCTTTATAACATACCACCAAAGATAATGATTTTGTCGTCAGAAGCTATGAAAAATGGTCAGGTTATGCTTACAACATTTCTTATATCAATACTTACTAACAACGGCTGAGTGGTCAGAGGCAGCTGAGGGATAACGAGTAGAGGTAGTAGAGACATTGCGAGCAACCCAAACGTTGGTAGAAGGATTATAGACCCAAACAGAATCCATGCTAGCAAGATTGCTGCCTGTGCTGGCGGCATTTACACCACCAATGACAACTATTTCACCAGTGCTGTAATTTTAATAGGTAGCACAAAATAAATAAAGAAAATTAGACACACATACTGGTATATACGCATTTGTAAAGATTTACCTAATAATAGAAGCAGTATGACCGTAACGACCAGTGGGAGTGGAAGCTAATGCAGTTGCATTAAAGTTGGCATCCAAAACGTGCAAGTCATTAAAGACAGCATTAGCGCCAGATACAGCACCGCCAAAGATATAAGTCTTTTGGTTTTTGCTGTCATAGGTAAGTGAAAAGAATTCACGGTTGTAAGGCATGGCTCCAGTGACATTGCCAGTGTTGGTGGGTGCAGCAGTCCATGTTTGAGAAGCAAAGTTGTAGGTGTAGATTTGAAGGGGTGCTTCTTTACCTTCGGTAGCATTGGACATTCCACCCATAACAACCATGTTGTTGCCATCAGCAGTGATGTATGATTGACTGTAAACTGAACCATCAGGTGCGTTTTTTTGAGGAACAATTTCCCAGTTGTAAGAAGTCTCAGTCTGGGTGAGTTTATAAAGGTCGTTTGTGTATCGTACAGTTGCGTTTTCACCACCATAAAGGTATAGTGAGTTGTTCTTTTGTGTATATGCCATACCTCCTTTGAAAGGAAGTATGTTCATAAACGAGGGTACATAAAAGTAGGCCTGAACTGTACTAAGGTAGGCAAATACTGTTGCTAAAAAAAGTATTAAACTCTTCATGTTTCCTCTTTTGAGAGCTGAGTTGTATTAAATGGTATATATCGAAGTGTTGATGCTAAAAGAAAGTAGTTTAAATGACTGTATTTGGGAAAAGGAAAACAAGAAAAAAAGAAGGAACTAGTGAAAGAAAGTGAAAGAGAAAAGAGGAAAAATACAATAAAATAAAAGGGGAAATATAAAAGAGGGAGTACAAATTTCATTCATCAAGTTAGACAAGAATAAAGGAGGTAGGACATGAAGCATCTGTACCTCAGCTAAAAAAGATGAAGTGGAGATCGAATATATAAAAAGTAGCACTCGAGTCCTGGCCGAGACTCAATAGTATCCTTTTCTTTTTCATGTTTATTGAGCGCTGCATTTCTGATTTGTTAATTATCGAAAACAATTTTTAATTTAATTCATAGTTGCAATAAAGAAAACTCTTTCTTTTGTATACTTAAAAGTTAATTAATAAGATTGAACACCCGCAATCTAAAAAGACAAAATTAACTAAATTTGTATGTACATAAATAGAACTAGCCTCTCTAAAGAAGATAAAAGACGAAATAAGCTTATGAGAAAACTATATTTGTAGCAAGTATAAGAATTGAAGTCAATTGTTGAATGTTTTGATATGTAGATCACCTTATTTGCTTCTTTGGCTTAGCACGTGCTTACACG